TTGCTTGATCAAGTCCTTTGTTTGACATTTAAAGCTCTTCACAACATGGCCCCAAACTACTTTTTCCATCTTCTTATATTTTATTCCCTTCCATGCATACTATGATCCAGCCATAGTGCTTGCATCTCTGGACTCATGCCTTTGCAAAATCAACCCCCCACCAAGCCTGGACTACTCTCCCTCCTTACTTCAACCTCTTAGAATTGACATCTTCCTTTATGACTCAACTCAAGTACCTCTACCACCTCTACCAGAGGCCTTTCCGGTTCCTCTCTGCTGCTAGTGTTTTTTTCACCATAGTTACCTTCCATCCACCTTCTACATATCTTGCACATATGTGGCTCTAGCAGGTTTGGAATTGCTAGTGAGGAAGGAGTCAGGGAATCTCAGGATCTGAGTTGGAAGACATTCCTCCCAGCTTTAGCTTACCGGCAAATTTTGAGAGGCATGTTCTCTCTCTTTATCCACATTAGCATTAAAGATGTTAAACAGAAAAAAGCCAAGCATAAATCCCAGGGAGCAGCCACTCTACTGGAGACATGTTTCCACGATGATGTTGAATTCTTCTGGCCTGGCCATTCAATTCTTTCCAAATCCATCTGTCATCTAGCCTACATCTCTCTATCTTGTCCACAAGAATAGAATGAGAGAATCCACATGTACAAAAATATTTCTAGCAGCTCTTTTTGTGGTGGCAAAGAACTTGAAATTGAGGGAATGCCTATCAATTGGGGAATGGCTGAACAAGTTGTGGTATATGATTATAATAGAATGCTATTGTGCTATAAGAAATGATGAGCAGGCTGACTTCAGAAAAACCTGGAAAGACCTGAATGGATTGATGCTGAGTGAAGTGAGCAGAATCAGGAGAACGTTGTACACAATAACAGCCACGCTGTGCAATGACTAACCTTGATAAACTTAGCTCTTCCCAGCAATGCAAGGGTCTAAGACATCTCATGACGGAAAATGCTATCCACATCCAAATAAAGAACTACGGAGTCTGAATGCAGATCAAAGCATACTATTTGTTCTTTTTTTTCTTCTGTTTTGTTTCATCTTTTGGGTGGTTCCTCCTATTGGTTCTAATTCTTCCTTGCAACATCACTAATGTGAAAATATGTTTAATAGGAATGTATATGTATAGCCTATATCAGATTGTGCGCTGTCTTGAGGAGGAAAGTGGGGAGGGAGGGGGAGAAAAATTTAAAACTCAAAAGCTTATGGAAGTGATTGTTGATAAATCAAAATAAACTAATTAAAAAAAAGAATAGGATAAGAGACTCTGTAAAATGCTTTGATGAAAACCAGGTAAATTTTATCTAGAACCCTGCCCTCTCCTACCAGTTGAAAAGTAAGTGACTTGCCCAGGGTCACACAGATAAGTGTCTGGGACAGGATTTGAATTTGGGTCTTCCTGACTGAGCCACTTAGTGACCATTAAATGTAGCCTAACTATTCCTCTAGCACAACATTCCATCTCCTACCTTAACAAAGGTTGTTTCCTGAGCCTGGAACATTTGCCCTCCTCATCTCTATTTCTTGGAATCCCTGGTTCCCTTCAAGGCTCAGTTCAACTGCTACCTCCTACTTAAGACTTTTCTGACCTCCCACCTCCCAGTTGTAAGTACTCTTCCATACTCACAAAAGTATATTTTTCTATATATTAGTATACATGTTTCCCTCCCAGAAGGCTGTAAAATATTTCTCTTTTCCCCCTTTGTCTCCTTAGAACCTGGCCCAGGCCACAGTAGGTATAAATTCCTGAACAGAACTGAATCTTCGACAAAACTGGAGTTTTGTGGGTGAAAGTTAACAATCAGACCTATATCCCATTTCAGTGTGGAAACTCCCTCCTATAATGCAAATCTGCAACTCATTTGCTTGAACCAGGCTCCAAGGCTAGACTTCTTTATTTTTTTTTAATATATCTCGATAGAGATCTAATCTCTCTATGTATAGATCTATACATAAATATATCGGTACATATGTATGTACATATTTTGGCTGGCACTTGTTATTTTATTGCCATAGGGAACTCCCTGTGAGCAGTACTCACTTACCCCCTAAGTCCAACTGTTCTGCAACTTAAGTTTTAGAGAAGTGACTTGCACAAGGTCACACTGCTAGTATGCGTCAGAGGCTACACTTGAACTTAGGACTTGCTGATTCTGGGGCTGGGTCTCCGACCTTTCACTGGGGAGGACCAAAAAAAAAAAAAAACCCGGGGAGGACAAAACAAGTGAATCCTATTTCTGCGTAGGCTCCGGGGTGGGCCAGCCTTTCTTGCCGCGGGTACCTGAACAGATGCGCTCCACCTTGAGCCTCCCATTGTAGATCCTGGTGACCTGCAGGGTGAGCTCCTCTATCGGGGTGCTCCCGGGCGCCTGCAGCAGAAACTGGCTCTCGTCGCCCCGCTTCACGTGGAGACAAACCATCACCGCCTGAGGGGGCTCCGCGCACGCGCAGCTCGGCGCTTTCAGAAACGACACCACCCGCGGAGTTAATAACACAAGGCCTGGCCTCCTGACTCGGGTCGAAGCGCGTCAAAGTCGCAGCAGCGGAGTGGGTAAGGGAGCTTTGAGGGTGGGCTCCCCCAATCTGGGGAAACTAGGAAAGTGTAGGAAAAACACCACCCCCCTCTACCGGAACTATCGGTTGCTAAGGGTAACCAACTCTAACAAGCGTCCCGGGACAGCGGGGAAAGGGAGAGGCGGAGCCTCGCTGGGCCCAGCCAGGGCCGCGTCCGCTCTGAGGAACGTTCCACCCCGCAACCCCCAGCCCTTGTCTTCCCAAGTGGAGCTGAGCCCCGGAAGCCCAGAACCGTTACCACCGCTTCAACGTCTCCAAGACCAGAAGCTGACCAGACTCCTCCGCACCGCCACCCGGGAGACGCGACGTGACGGCCCACCCCTCCCAGCTCGCGGAAGTGACGTCACGCGACGGGCAGTCACGCGCCTTCTCCCCTCCCTCTCCCTCCTCATCCAGCTGTGGCTCTCTGGCGCCGCCATTTCGGCCTCGTTCAAGGCGAGCAGGGGCAGTGATTGGCTGCTCCGAAGGCCCAGAAGGCTTAAGTTCTAAATCTGCTGCGGAAACACACCCACATAGCCCCACACCCCGAAACTCGCTGCACAGACTCTGCCCCCACCACGTCCCCACCGTCTCTCAAAGGGAGATAAGAATGACACCCCACCTCACGGGGTTGTCGTGAGGACCAAAGGAAATAACATATGCAGTCTGCTCTATAAATGCTAGCTATTGTTACTAATTGAAAGGCATCCACAGTCAGGTTTCCTGTTCTCTGATTAAAAAAAGAATCAAATCCTACTCATAGCCTGAAATCCGTTTCCCATTTTATGTTTTACCTGGGTCAGTTGGAGGGGGATACCTAAATTTAACCACCAGGTAGTGGATAGCTGTGGATGGAGAAATCCCTCTCCCAGAATCCTGTAGTGGATTTTTGGATCTATCTCCATCAACACTGTGAGGCTCAAATGAGAGAATGGATGTAGAGCACTTTGCAAACCTTAAAGCTCTACATAAATGCCAGTTATTTTTAGCCTCCAGTCTATCCTAGTTAGAGAACCTGGATTCAAATACCAGCTCTGCTACTTGATATGTGACCCAGGACCTCTGTTTCATCATTTGTCAAGAAAGGGTTGGACTAGGTAGATGGCCATGAAGACCCTAGCAATCTATCATCTATGATCCTAAGTTCTAGAACATTTAGTTGCCTCAACTTTTTGGCCAAAGAAGCAGAAAGTCTGGAAAGCCTCTAACTCTGGAAATCAAAATCCATGGAATGGACTTGGGATTTCAACTTCTGATTGTGAAATTTAGGATCCAGCGTGAACCAAAACTCAGGATGGTCAATGCTGTCTTGGTCTGGTTGTTGGTGGGGACTGACTCCTTTCCAGCCTCAGCCCACTGAAGTTGCAAGGTGGGTATGGGAAGAACAGGCTTTGTCCTACATCTGTCTCTTCTTGACTTTGAACTGGGCACCTCCCTGCCTAAGTTTGTATCTCTCTTCCTACAAAAGGAAGGTGCAGAGAGTAAGAATGGAGCTACATAAAAATATGTGAAAGCCAATGTCAAAGGGATCAAATGAGAGAGCTAGAATAATACTTTGCAGGGTTTGACTCTTAAGAATACAATAGGTGGGATGACGATACTAAATTTTTCTGGAGGCAGATACTGAACAGGAAAGCTTCAGCTAAATTGTAGCCAATACGCCCAGAGAGATGAAAATCACCCTAGTTCAGTTCATCTTATTGTGATAATTTCTGGCTTGTTTCTTTTCTAGAGCACTGTCCTGATTTACCAGTCTATGACTTTCAATAAAGGATATGAGATTAGCGTCCATCATGAATTATTTTTGATGAAGCAATGCCAGTTCTTTGTGGTCACATTTTTCTCACTATCCATACCTTTAATGATTTTTTTTTAGGATTTGCCAGTAATTCAATCAATATATTGCCTATAGTTTTCAAATTTCGCAATTTTTTGAAAATGGGAATAACATTTGCTCTTCTCCACAAACTTTCAAAAATCAAAGGCAGTGGCTAAAAAACTGTACCAAATAGTTATTTTAGTACTTGTAATATAATTATTGTCTCTTCTGTCAAAGTGAGGTTGCCATTTCACATTGCGGTATGTTCTTTTCCACCCTTCAAAACGACTTCAGTTTATCTAAATAATCAGGCTTATGCCTAAAAATAAGAATCAGCGAGGGTCTAAGTGTGAAACTGAAGGTCTTTCTTATTGAATAAAGGGTATGGGGCTCTTTTGGTTATCCCAAAGTAATTTTCTCTTTATTTCCAAAGTCAGGGTGGAAGTTGATAAAGATTTTACTGCTGAATATGTGGGTTAGAACTGCTCACATCTGACAAATCAGCTTAACTGATCTTCACTAATTATCCAAGAAATTGTTTTGAAAACTCCAGGGAAGTATATGAGAGTCTGAACTAAATACCTCTGTTTAAAGCAAAGTGATCAACATGGTAAAGACAGGTATTTTTAATGAAGATGCCACATTTCACAGGATATGTACAGAATGTCACATACCACTGCATTTTAATACGAGTTTTGTAAAGTATATAGTTATAAATAGTGTGCCACATAAGCAATAACATTGTTACATATAAATAGCAACTTACCACAAAGGACAAAGAATTACTGAAAAGTTTAGTGTCTCAATTTAGTACTTAGTTGTTTTTTATTTTTAAAGAAATGCTAGTTATTTTACTAATACACATTACACTATTTTAGCTACTTGCAGTATACCTTTTAAATCCAATAAACTTTGAATTTTGGGTAATCTGCAAACTTGGTTATCCTGTTAAATGCTGAACTACTGTATGTTATGTACACTTTAGACTGTAGTTTATCATTAGATATCCAACAGGAAGCACAGCTTACAGAATTTCAATTTGCACTAGCAAAGTTCAAAGAATTGTTTTGCTAATATAGAGCATATATCCAAACACTGATCATTACACAGATGTTAGCAGCCACAATTTTAACAAGTTAATTCACATATTGAAGCACTCTGCTTATAGTAATACTGCTGTTTAAAATGTACAAATACTATTGTTCAGATAAGAACAACAACAACAAAAAAAAGCACAATATAAAATCCACTAGGGTTTCTTTTCTATTTAACAGCAGATCCTGGCTGTTAAGAGAAGTGTGAATTACTTTTACAAATATAGTATTTTGATAGCATTTAAGAATTTAGATGAGTCTTTTACATACTATTTGCCTTGTGTTTTAAGTGATGCAATCTTCTGTACTTTTCACCTCATTCCTCTCTAGGATTAAAAACTCAGACTATACCAATAAAAGTGAGGGTCTTCCTTTTATCCCCCCTGGCTAATGCACATATTTAAATGAATAAACTGTGACATGACAATAAACTATACTTTTTTAAAAAAGCATATTGGTAACATTTTTATAAGGTAAAGATCATTTTAATTTATATTTGCAACAGAAGTGTTATGAAAGGAATTTTCTGCTTGATTTTACTTAATGTTATCAAAATACCACATTTTGTATAAATTTTGCACACTTGTTGATAAAAGAATGGAAGCAAGATCAGTTGCATAATGGCAGTGCATTGCAGGGCTTGGCATTAGTAATGTGGAACAGAGCCTCTTAATGGGATAAAGAAGTCCTGGATTACATCCTCCATTTAAAAGAGCTTCATCAGTGTTCAGGTCTGCTGCTCTGTCTGCTAGTGGAAATGTTTTAGAACTAAAGCAGCATATACAACAGTGAGGATGGGTTTGGGGTAAAATGTGCCTTAACCAAAAGCAAAGAGAGACTCATGTTAAAGACCAAGAGTTAAAATGCTATTAAATAAGCTATGCAATAGTTGCCTCCCCAGATGTTTTCACAGAACCACAAGATTTTCAGGTAGCCTGGGTAATTACACATGACAGTGAACTTCTGGCTCCACTGAGGTACCGGAGTAGAAACCAATAAGTTGGGGGCAGAAAAAATGAGTTCTTTAATGTGTTTTTTTTTCCCAATTTGGGGAAGAAAACCTTAAGAAACAGGAAATGAAAATATTCCACATAACTGAAATGAAATATGAAGTGTCTCAGTTATAGTTACAATCTTCTTCATTGGTAACAAGACACTTACAAGAGGGCACTGAAGGTAATTAAAATCTGACTTGAATCTATACCATATAAATAAAATGAGTTTAACAAATAATGTAAATAATTTGTTATATGATTAAAAAAAGTAATACCTGTCAAATGTTTTTCAGTATAATTTTGGCAGTTCTTTGGTAAATATTCATAAATACCAGATGCTAATCTGTATGAAGGGACTGATGATTATGTCAGGTAAAAATTATCACTTTTTTCATATTCTTTAGTGGGGAAGAATAAGAGATAATTTCAAGAATAAGTAGTATTCCTAAAAGTAGCTTTAAGCACTTTTAAATTGGGATTAATAACTAATTATTTTGGCTACCTATCGCAATAAACACATTCAAACTCAACTTTATGATGAGAATTATCTTTGTGTATTCCCAAAATATACATACTCAAACTTGTACACATTAAATAGTGGTATTTCATGAAGATATCAGTGCACATAATTATTGCACATAGTATAACTTTAATGCCCATTTTTTGGGATGTATCTTGCCAAAAAGACCTTTCATCTCATAACATTATCTTTCTGTAAAATCTACTGCTGATGAAGTCTTAGATGCCAAAGGAGTGAAAGGATCTACAGGAGTTGCAGGGCTAGGTGTTACTACTGGGGCAGGAGGCTCAGGTGGTCTTCTTGATGGCAACATACAGAAAGAAACAGCTGAATTTTTATTCCAGTCCAAGGAAAAGTCTGAGTCAGAAAATGAAGTTGATTGAGTGTCTAGTAAGTCTGGACAACCAGCTGATTTCTCAGAACTGACTCTATTCAACTCTGCTGCATTGTCTGGTGCTTTCTGTTTTACGCTGAAATCATCCTCCTCAAAAGTTACCCAGTCTTTTGGTTTGATGCTTTTCACTGCTGAAGATGTGCTCTGCAAAGCAAAACTGTCCTCAAATCCCTCCTTAAGAAATGAAGCCTTGCTTACATTACGACTGAGAAGATGTGAAGAGAGGGAAGGACTGCTAACAGGTTCCTCTTTTGGGAGCCATGAAATTACTTCGGATTCTTGAGGGTCAGTTCTAAATGGATTTCCAAGAGGACGAGTTCTGTCAGTAAAAGGATTTGTCATGTTTAAGCTAGCAACAAACGGGTTTGAGGAACTTTTTATATTTTCCTGGGATTTGCTCCGAGCTGGGATAGGTGGCATTCTTGGGAAGAAACTTTCATTATTCAAGACATAAGCGAAGCTTTGTGATGTGGAAGGCAACTTAATCAACTCCTTTTGGTTTAAAGGTAGAACTGGTGATGTTTGTAGAGACATCTGAGACTTTAATGGAGCAAACAGATTAAATGAAAAGTCATTGCTTAATTGAGTTCCATACTTAATATCATACTCTTCATCTGTTTTTATCTGAAACACGGAAAGAAGACACTGAATATTTCAGATGGATTGTTATACTACTTCCCACCCCTATTTCTCATATTTTCTAAACGTTCTTCATTTCTTTGGGCAAATTCAGAAACCTGAGTACTAAAATAGAAAACTTATCACAGTTCATTATTCTTTGTGGAATGATATGGTGGATGAAACCTGGCTGAAATTCCACTATATTATTGGTTCCCTCTGACCACCCCACCAAATAAATTCTTTTGTTAAAAAAAATAAAACCATTTAATTCATGCAAGTACTGACAAAGAGCATTAGTGACTGTGCTTCGTTTAACCTCCGGGCTGCCTAAATGGTAGCCACAGAATGAGGAAATTACATTCTGAACAATTTTACGTTGGTGTTACCATTTGTAGCAATCTCTCAACATCTATTTATACTGATGTTGTGGTTTCATTGTTCTTTCATATGCAAAAATGTAAATGTTAATATGAAATAATGAATGGAAATTAGTGTTAGCATATTTATAATCATAAGCCCAAGTCAATGCATTTCTTACCTTTGTATTTGGGAGCTGATAAATTGTCTTGTGAAGGAGTTTTTGACTTTAAAGGCAAGGTTTCATTTTTAGAACTAAGTCTGTGGAAAATGCCACAGAGGAAGATTTCCTCTTAGGGATCTTCCTCAGATTTGAAAACATTAAAGTTTATTAAAGAACAAAATAACAGTCTTTTTATAGAAAGGTATAACTTTAAAACAGATATAAGCCCACCAAATCCTTAACTATGAATGTGGTCTTAATGATAGTGGGTTGTATTATCACCTTAGTATACAAAAGACATAGCCTTTGAATTGTTTTCAAATTCTGGTGAAAGATTTCATAGGAGAGGCTAATCAGTTAGAAGAAGCCTGCAGAGATTAGCCTAAACCTTAACTAAATGATGAATTTCCATTTACAAAATCTCACTTGAATTGTTCCAGCTGTGAGGTCACTCTCTCATGAGAGGGCAAATCCCATTTTGGGGATCTTTAGTTTGGAAGATCTTCCTTATATTGAACTGAAATATGCCTGCCTGTAACTTCCAATCATTTCTCTGCTTCTCTGGGTCAAGCAGAATAAAACTAACCTCTTATTAATGCCGATCTATTATTCACTGTCCCATACCAGGGTCCTTTTGTCATCAATTGGTAGGGGCCAGGAATGGTGGTGGAACCAAGCAAAGCTAACTGGTCTACGAGAGAAATAAACCCTGTGGTCTTGGTCTTACAGCAACCATGCTCTAAAAAAATGAACAAATCAGTGTCTTCGTTATTAATTTCTTTTCAAAGTATTTCAGAATTATCACTAACTTCTTCATCCCATTTCTGTAGTATATGATGTTTATGCCAACTTCAAATATAAAGAAAAAGATGTTTTGTGGGGAAAGGTGAGCTAGGAGAAGAGGTCAAAGCTGAGACAAGGGTCAGGCTAGCTGCCCTGGGAGCACTGTGTGGGGATGCAACAAAAGACACAAAAAATAAAGGCACATATTTTTAGATAACATTTCTATGTCCTAGGCAAGTGAGTATTTTATGGTAAGTCAAGCCATTTATAAGAGGGAATGCTCAAATCTCGATTGATAGTTTTTTTTTTTAATGAGTCTAATTGCCTTTTGTTTGTGGGTGGGGAGTAGGCTGCCACCTGCTTAATCAGTCACCTCAATTATTTGTATCATAGGAGTATATCAACATAGATAAGCAAGAAAAATCCTGAAAATAAACTATTTGGCTAAATTGAGACTGGGACCACTACTCTCAGCACATATTAGCTACACTTTAGATAATATAAAGATATTGTGTACATTTTAGAATTGTGTCAAAATTTTTGCCAAATATCATAAACACATAATTCTTCATGTTTAAGGGAAGTAAATTTAGATCTAGAAACGAAGGTCATATGCAATTTGACATAGGCACAATCTTCCTGCCTATCATCAGGCAAGCAATTTTCAAAGTACAATAACAACCACAACACCACTCATTGCACTGAGATTTATAACTGGAGTAGCATCTGAATTAGGTCTTACTAGAACTATTTTTCCTATGAAAGAACAGGTGCTTGGAAGATCTTCAAATAATACTTTACAATTTAATTTTTTTTGTATTAAGAGAATGAAATCTTCCTTACCAAAAAACTCCACCCCCCATAAACAGCCTAACAGAAAAATTAATTTTACATCTATGTCACATTAACTCTGAAGGCCTCTATAGATTAGGTTTAAGCTTTCTGAAAACCAGCAGGTTCTCTCTTATGATTATTCTTTAAGGCATTGTTAACTGTTCATAAAAGATGAAGTGAGAAAAAATTGTTAAACAGAACTAGCAAATATAACTAAAATGACTCCTAAAAAATCTAAAATGCTAAAGAAAAGGAAAAGCAGGTTTATGGGATGATAGTCATATTTATTAATGTGGATAGGTGATTTAAAAAAATATGGGTAGATGTATGAAGCAAAAGAGATTCATACATCTGATCTGTCAGGACAGATGACGAGCACATATAAGATTGGTAAATAGTCAGATACCTGTTACCCTGACGGTTGCTCCTGCTTTAAGAAAGGAGACAAATATTAAAGGAAAGAGTTAGGAGGAAAATCAGAGGCTAAACAGCAGCCCTAACAATTCAGTTTTTAACATTGTTTTCAATACTACAGCATACCACATAGTAAATGAAAGAATAACAATATTCACAGATTATGTGCAATAATAGGCTCAAGAGATAACTTTAAAATCCTTATACAAACTAGTGAAATAGTATGAGAAATCTGCTTTAGTAGTAGCATGATGTCCGGTAATTTTAATAAATTTTGGTGCTTTAACTGGCATACTAGTCAATTCAAAGTTATCACTAAAAGGTATAAATTCCAGGTGGATCTTAAAAACTGAAGAGGAGCAAGGCTTAAGGGCTCACGGGCCTCCCGCGATCTGTAATAATTTATTTTTACAAAGAAACCAGGCTACATAAAAGCCTACATGATTACATTGGGGGTGGGGGGTGGGTTGATGTTTGAACTCGGCTAGCAACACAGAGAAGCTTACAACCAAAGCTCAAAATACTCATCTCCTAGGACTTGCTGCCCTATACAGACTTGTCACAAGTCAGGATATTTACTGCACAGCCACACAGATGGTCTGATTGGGCAGTGGCAGAAAGGGGGATGATTAAAAACATTACACTTATACTGATAATGAAAGGCACTCATTTTACTGACTTCTCCTCCCCCTTCTTTTACTAAGAAAAGTGAGGAGAGAACATGTTCATCCCTTTAATTACATTTTATTTAATTCTCAAAGTATGTGTGTCCTATTTTATTTTTCTTAAATGCTACAAACATCAATAATATACAAAGAAATAGACTGTATATGAAACTGTGAACTTCTATTACATATAATTTTTAATCATTGCATATTATATTTAGTACAATAAAAAGTTGCCCTGCTTCCCTTTCTGAACTTCCTTCTGCTTTCTTTTGTTTTAGAGAAGAATTAAATTCTGACTGTAAACTATTTAAATTTATTTTCAAAAGCAATTTATATCAACAAATTATCTAATATGATGCAGCGGAAAGGGTGCTGAATTTGGTGTCAAAGGACCTGAGTCTGAATCCTGACTATCCATTTATCTGTAGACAACAGACAAATCACTTAAGTTCTCTAAGTTGCAATTTCTTCATCTGTCAAATTAGGGGGTTAAACTTGATTTCTAAGGTTTGTTCCAGTTCTAGATCTACGTAGTGGACACTACTTGTAGCATCCAGGCCTCAAGCCTTCAAGGGCTGACAGGCCACATGCTGAAGGCATATTGCACAGCCCCTTATTATAGTTATAAAACAGTGTCCTGAATAAGGATATATGTAGTGCCATGATCCAGTACTGTTCTTTAAAAACATGTAGCTTTATCAAATTCCAAATTAAGTGACAGAACCCTGTCTGTTTCACTGATTGGTTAAAATGTCAAAGCCCCTTTGCTTATGGGACAAATCCTAGATAAGTTAGTGTTGAAAAGAAGTTGAAAACTTCTTGACAGACAACTCATTGACTTGCACAGCTCCTGGTGGGGACATCAAGGCAGGAGGGAATAGCTGCACTTATTAATAAATACATTATGATCTTCATTAAATGTTTCCATCTATCAGGGTTGTTGTTATCTGGTAAAAGAAGGTAGGTGGTGAAGCAGGTTAGGTAGGTGGCTCAGTGCACACAGCACTGGCCCTGGAGTCAGGATGACCTGAGTTCAAATCTGGCCTTAGACACTTACTAGCTTTGTGACCCTGGGCAAATCACTTAACCACATTTGTCTCAGTTTTGTCATCTGTATAATGAGCTGGAGAAGGAAATGGCAAACCAGTTCAATTACTTTGCTAAGCAAACCCCAAATGGGAGTCACAGAGAGTCTGAAACAACTCAACAACAAAAGAAAAAAAATTTTTTTTTTTGTTTTTAAATCAATTCTAAGAAGGGTAACATTGGCAAAGGAAAGAAGGATGAGACACACTGATTACTGAGATGGCCCAGCACCACTCCTAATCACTCCTTAGCATCCTACCGATGTGATAAGTCTGGAGCTCTCACAGACCCAGAGTGCTAGCATGCTGGGTCTGAAGGAAGGAGTAGCAAGAGGGCAAGCCCACCATCTGCTTTGCTGTTCCCTAGCTGCTGCTAACTGCCATTAAAAAGCTACCTTAAGAATTAACTAAATTGAAACTAAATGAGTCCTTACTAGCTATTGAACACCAGGCAGGGGGCTAAATGATGGATCTTTGGATGGTCCACTTGATAGGGATGGGAGAGGAAGGACTACCTACCCTAGTCTTACCCTAGTTTAACCTTGTCCTCATTTGAGATGAGATGTGGGAGAAAGGTATGACTCAAGTGAGGATGACTCTTCCCACTCATCTTGTCTCAGCCCCTACTTTCCCCTGAGATCCAGACTGTGATTGCATCTATCATCACACCAAAACATGTCCTGATAGGGTAAAGTGTTGCCTAACTGATGCTTCTAACTCATTGCTAAAAGTCAAAGGGTGGGCAGTGGAATGCCTGGGGATCAGAAAATGTGATTTCACTTCCCTAGGGGTAGAGGTGTCTGTGAATAAGGGATGGCAACCAAAAGACTTGGAAATACAGAATATAGGTAGTAGAAGGAGGGAGGAGGAGATATAATGGCCCAAGACTCAGAAACAAATTGTAAACAAGGAAATTATAAACCCTTAAATTCTGTTTCTAGATATAATCTTGAAGATATTTTCTGGCTATGACTTCCCCACCCCTGGTTCTGGTAGCTGTTTTTTTTTTTAAATACCAAAAATACTATATTCTGAGGTCATTTTTGGCTAACTCCTATCTCCCTGTGTCCTCTTGACCATTTTATTACCCTGAGGACACCACACGTTATCTACTGTACCACCCAGCTGCCCCTTAAGATGGCATTTCCAAGGTAAAACAAAATATTACAAATTTAAAGTTTGGTAGTCTAAAATACTAAACATAACTTGCATTATTTTAGAAGTTGCCCTGGAATGCATATGAATTTAAATCAATAATGAATTTTAACATGATTGAATATATGTGCACAAAATGAATTGTATGTATTCACTTACATGAGAGATTCTCAAACTTTTCAATCTGAGAATTACTTTGGCAGGGCAAGGTTCTCAAGGACACCCACTACACACCTGGGTGTGACAGCCTGTCATAAAAATGTTACAAAATTGGGGCAAATGAAAGCACTATTTTTGATGAGACATCAGTGACATGCTTAGTTTTGGGTATGTTTCACTTTTATAACTATGTCTATTGTTCTCTGTCCAATCCATTTAGGTTGGATCAATGGCTACAACAGATTGTTAGAATCCCCACAAACTATTGCTGATATCTGCTCATTGGAAACTGACAATCTTGAAAATGTTTGGTCTAACATTCATTCACATTCTCTATCTGTCTGACTCATTTATGAAAAGTGAGGGCTGATTTATGAAATGTAGTAAAATATGGGTAGGACTGGATAGGTTGTAATCTGCATCTGGGCAACTATTCAATCAATGAGATCAGTGATCTATTTAAGTATTTGAGTAAAATACAGTCTTGGTAGTCATACTAAATTTTAAATGGTTCAAATCTATTTTCCTAAGAAACAAAAGCATAGATAAAAAGGCTAAAAACCTTTCAATATCCAAATTATACAACAACTAATTTATGAGATCTCATAAATCACATGCATCAGTATTATCTTAGGATGTAATTTTGGTAAATGTCAAAACATATAAAATAAAACCAAAATTATTTCTTCCTCTGTTAAAATAATGTTAACTCTAAGGTTGGTACTGCAATTTCGGTAACTTTTTTTTAAAAGTAAATACCACCTCTCCCATGAAGTCTTCCCTGATTCTCCTACTTGGCAAAGAAAATGTCCCTTCTCAGAATTCACCTACTACTTTGCTTATAAATCTTATGCACTTACTATATATTTTGAATGCTGGTTATTTCTGTATATGTCACATATTCGTATTAGGCTGCAAACTTCATGAAGGCAGGGACAATGTCACATCTAATCTTTTTATCTTAACTAGTGCCTACTGCACAGAACAGGCACTTAGTGAGTATCCACTTAACATAAATACAATTACAAAATGCTTCTTTATGGAAAAATTCAGCTTACTATATTAAGTTAATGAAGATCATGTACAGAGACTATTATACATAGTGAAGATAATCTATTTAAAGCTACTTACTTGCTGCTGCTGCAAAGGTGAAGCTTCTGAGGGCAAAGTGTGGGATGACCTGCTACGTGGTGGCGGCTGTGGGGGGGCTTCAAGAATGTGTTGGGAAGTGGGCTGAGGCAGAGGTGATGGTGTAGGAACAAGAGGCTCCTGCATTTTCTGAACAGGCGTAGTAAAAGAGGGCAGGGCAGGGGTGACCGTCTGAGGCTTTAGTGGTTCAGGGAGTACAGCTGAACCTAAAAATATAGACCCAAAGCTTTAATTCCCTTAGTAAAATGCATTGTGGGACTCCCTGGTGCCTTTTTTTCTTCAAACAAAAAGTAACAATTTCAGTCTGTGGCACTTAGTAAAAATGTATTAGAATACAGATAATTTCAGGGTTTGGAAAAGTTCTTCCTTCATTATTGTTACGGCTTTCAGTTACTCAGCAAACACCAGTTAAAGAGCTAGAGGAAAACAAGGGATACAGGGGAATTCCAATGTACTTTTTACCTTTTGGTAATTCAGATGATTTACTTTGGACTTCAGCAGTCATCTTCCCAGAAGAGACACGGGCAAAGCTTTGTGGTGCACTAATAACTCCAGCACGTGGTGGGATAGTCTTAAACATGGTAAACGCAAAACTTGTGAATTTATTTCAAGTAAGTATAAGCGTCATTATAAGTATTTGCTTTAATAGGAGAACTCAAATTAAGAAATTGACCAATTATGACTCCAAAGGACTAAGGATGAAATATACCTCCCCTCCCGTCTCAGTACAGGTATGGAATGAATCAAGTCAAATCAACAAACATTTATGTATTAAGTGCTTACTATGTGCCAGGCTTTGTGCTGTGGATACAAAGACAGACAAAAATAGTTCCTGCTCTCCAGGAGCTTATAATCTACCAGAAGAGACTACATTCAAACAATTATATACAAATAAGATACATACACACACACACACACACACACACACACACACACACACGCACACAAATGTAAAGGTTATCTCAGAGGGAAAGCACTAGCATTTAAAGAAGAATAGGAAAGCCTTCTTATAGAAAGCAGGATTTCAGTTGAGACTTAAAGGAAGCCAGGAAAGCCAAGAGACAAAGATGATGAGGGAGAGCATGGGAGAAAGTCAGGGAAAATGCCCAAGGCCAGCAAATGGAGTAAGGAACTGTAAAGAGGTAAGCATTACTGAATAGCAGAGTACATGGAAGGGAATAAAGTACAAGAAGGGGCCAAATTGGTTCTGATGCTATTGACTTTAAAAGCCAAACAGAGGATTTTTCATTTGATCTTGGATATAACAGGAAGTCAGTGGAGCTAGCTGATTAGGGAGTGACATGATTAGACCTGTGCTTTAGGAAGGTCACTTTTATAGCTGAGTGAAGAATGAACTGCAGTAGCGAGACCAATCAAAAAACTACTGTAGTGGTTCAGGGGTCATCTGATGAGGGTGGTAGTAGTGAAGAAGGAGAGAAGGGGATATATACAAAAGATATAAGTAGATATGGCAGAATTGATAGGATTTGGAATAGAATATTGAGGTTGAGAGAGAATAAGGCATTGAAAATGATATGTAGGTTGTGAGTCTTGGTAACTAGGATTGTAGTGTCTTCAATAGTAATGGGGAAGTTAGGAAGATGGGAGGGTTTTAGAGGAAAGAGAATGAGTTCAGTTTTGGAGTTTAAGATGTTTATGGGGCATCTAGTTAGAGATATCTAATAAGTAGTTGGAGAAGTGAGTTTATAGGTCAGAAGAGAGGTTAGGGCTAGATAAATATCTGAGAACCATCTGCATAGAGATGATAATTGAATCCATGGGAGGTGATGAGATCACCAAATGAAATAGTACAGAGGGACAAGAAAAGGGGATCCAGGGGAGAAACTTGAGGGATACCCAGGGTTAGTGGATAAGACTTGGATGTCAATTCAGCAAAGGATTCTGAGAAGGAGCAGCAAGACAGGTAGGAAGAAAACCAGGAGAGAGCAATGTCATCAAAACCTAGGAAGGGCAGAGCATTAGGAAGAAGAGGGTGGCTGACAATGCCAAAGGCTGCAGAGAGAAGATTAGATTTGGCAATTAAGAAAAAACTGGTAACTTTGGAGAGAGCATTTTCAGTTGAAGGATGAAGTTAGAAGCTAGACTACAAAGAGTTAAGAAGGTGAAAGGAAAGGAAATGGAGGCATTGATTGTTAAAGGCCCTCTTAAGGAGTTCAGCTACGAAAAAAAGAAGAAAGATATTGGATGATAGGTGGTGGGGATGGAGCGATGAAGTAAGATGAAGTAAAAGTTTTAGGGAGATGGGGGAGACCTGAGCATATTTGTAAGCAATAGTGATGCAGCCAGGAAACAGGGAAGATACTGAACACAAGTGAGCATGGGGATTACAACAAGCAGGTGAGGTAATCTGCTTGAGAAGATGGGACGGACAAATAGATATTGTAAAGAAAGACCCTTTAAATTCTGGGGATGATGTTAGTGAGCAGGATGTTCCAAACCTGTTTGACATGGATAATGAAATAGTCTGTCAATATGACAAGATTCATTGAAGCAAAAACAAATGGAAATTTTACTTGAAAGATGATGTCGTGCTTTGGTGAGAAAGACTATGTGTTTGCCAAAGCAAATAAAGATGCAGAATGGTAACTCTTGTATGCTCTATATATCAGCTCTCTGTGTCTATGTAAATATCAGTGAGAGTATAATAAATATTCTGAAAATTTTTTTGTTTTAAATAGTTTACCAAAACATACTAATGTTAAAAGAAGAAGAAAAAGAAGATGATGATGGGATGGAATCATACAACTTGTGCATGTTTACTTGGTAAAGAGAAGGACCACCTCTTTATGTGAGGCAGCGGAGAAGGAAGAGAAAATGGCATAAAGGATTGGCATGATGATAGATGAGATGGAGGGAAGAAAAGGGAGCTCTTGCCAAAATGGCCTCATTTTTTTCAGTGAAATATGAAGTATTTCCTCTTTAGTTGAGAGGCTTGGCGAGGGGAAGCCTTGAGAGGTTGGAGGAATGATGAAAAGGTCTGGGAAAAGTGCTGTGTTGAGTGGAATAGTGAATTGATTAGGGAGGTATAAAAAGACTGTCTTTTAACTTGAAGGCTCAGTTGAGATGTGCAACATAATTTTATAGAGGAACCGAACAGCGTGGTTGTGTATCCATTTAGAGCATATTTTGGCACATGAGGTGTTTGTCTAAACCTAATTTCTCTTTAGCTGCTTTCTAGTTTTCCCAGCAATTCATGTAAAAAAGGGGAGTTCTTCCCACAGTAATTTATATTCTTAGGTTCAAATGCTCAACAATTCTTTTTCAATTGCTTCTGCTTCTTGATTATATCGTCTATCCTATAGATTGGCTTTTCTCTTTTTAATGAAATAGTTTCAGTACTGCTTTATAATTGGAAGCCTGATAATTCTATGTTCACTTCATTCACAGTTTTTTCACTGCTTCTATGAAATTGCAGACTTTTTGTTCTTCCAAATGAATTTTAATATCATTTTTGTCTAGGCTCACAAGTAGCCCCTTCATAATTTGATTGGCATGGCACTAACCACATTTGTAAATTAATTTAGGTGCTATTTTTTGTCTTAAACTTTCTTTCAATATACTGCTATTCAAATTGCATGATAAAATAGCAGTGAATTAAGCAGGATTTAATCCATACCGGCTTTGCTGCACTGTGTCCAACAATTCCTGGGCTTGTTAATCCTCCTTGAGGTGAGGGCTGATTACGTCCTAAAATAAATATATAAAGATATCATTAAAAAAAACCACATACATATTCCAGAAGTCCATTTTATGGTCTAAGTTTAAATGGAAGTTTTTTTTGTTTTCTGTTTTTTGTTTGTTTGTTTTTTACCTAAAACATCTTTTCTTGTTGTTCCAGGGCTTTTGGGTGCTTTGAATAGGAAGAAAAAGAAAATCAGTCTCAAGAATAATACTTCATGACATCATTTTGCTTCTCATTAAATGAAAAAACTGAGGGCATGAAATGAATGAATGAAATTTCTTGAGCCTGCTTTAGATAAAATTATTACAGCAGACAAGACTAACAAAGTTTTGATAACTGGTGTCTGACATTATTTTCCAGAGACCATTCAGCAACATACAGAAACTAGAATTTGCTTTTCAAAAAATCCATTAAATAAGATTCATCAAAATTTTGGCTTTTGGCTCTGACACAGATACGTTCTTACGGTAAAAGAGTGAGGAAGGCAAGAATATTCAGTGATATTCAGACCTTAGTCTTCTGACCTACTCAGGGCAAGATTTTTTCTTAATACTTGATTCTCCAGTATGATGTCCTTCTACAAACTTGTGACTAATTAGTAGTACCTGTAAATAGTCATTTTTCTAGGCCATATCAGACAAAATTTCCCTCATAGCAAAAAAAAAAAAAAGTTCTGTATTGTTCAAGTTATACGCTGCTCACTGTAAAATTAACCTGGAGTCTCATTATATAACACACTGTCATTGGGGCTCATGCAGTAGAATAATATTATGGATGAAGTCTTCTTATAGTGAGGACCTTTTAGCATTATTATAACTAACTCTCCCAGATGAGGTACAAGAAAATCTGCCTCATCAAAATAAAGCAATAGCAAATAGTGTTAAAGCAGGTTCAAGTGTAAATAACCATGCAAGATGAAATATGAAAAATACTTAAATAGGCCAGAAGGAGAAAAACTATTAGAGCAGGGGGTTTGTAAACTAATAACCCTGGACCAAATCTATCCATTTTCCTCCCTTTTGATAATTGTAACCTTTAAGTCTAGAGTCTAGTCTTTTTAACTGAAATTTCTGGTTGAAGATTAGAAGCAAAATCAGAGCTATCCTACATTAAAAAGCCATTTATGCAAACCATCTATGTTATCTATATATATTATATTCTAGGACCTCTATTCAGATGCCTTAACTACAATGACTAGTTAAAAAAATCTCTCATTATTACCATATATTCATAAATATTTAACTTGTGTGAACAAAGCTTTAAGTACTTTTCTTACAGCAATATTCTGTAGTATTTAAAAGGAAGGGGTTGCACTTAAATATGTGAGAAAATTTTAGTAAATTAGAATTAGTACTTTATGAAAGGTAAATGGACAAATTTTGAAAAAGGTACACAATACAGATAGCCTTAAAATAAAGAAAAGCAAGGAGAAATCAGTATACAAAAAAGAGAAACCTGAAGACAGCATTTTAAAAAATGTTTTCAGACACAGGAAAGCAATGTTCAGAGATACAAAATCAGACACACATTTCTACAATGCAAACGTCTCGTTACCTTCCATCTCCTTCCTAGCTACCCCAGGGCTGGGAGGGCCTCCGAGACCTTTTTAGAGAGAGAACAGAAGCTGTACATTGCATAGCACAAGCAGCAAAACGAGAAAAGCAAGCACAAAAAGGGCACAATTTAAAAGAATTTCTAAAATAAACGCACTTTTAAAAAACATGATTTTTGTTGTTTTAAATATTTTAACACAATTATGCCAAACCAATTTGAAATAATACTTATAGATACCTATTTCCAGATTCTAAACCTCAAACAGATAGCCAGAAATGAGATTATACTTCTCTATCTCTACAATTACTGGCATCAAAGAATTTGATAGCAAGGACAAAGAGAAGATTTTACTTAATGCTTGTACTATTCTTTAAAAGGAAAACCATCAAGATTCAGCTGTATGTCTTATATTATAACACTAAGTTATGTTTCCAATGTTAACAACATTAGATACGAATAATGACCAGTTTATCTGAAAGGACTAAATGTGACGTTGCTTTGTCATTCTGAATTGCTGAGAGACTACATAAGAGAAAATGAACTGTAATAAAGAATTTTTTGAGTTTGTTAAACTCTTAAAAGATACTTTAATAACTCTTCCCTAAATGCATTGCATGAGTAGGGTTATTTTTCCATTGAATGATAAATATGAACATAAACAATATTCGCTATTATTACTGAATTACATATTTCTATTTAAGTCACTCAGAATTTTTTATCTTTATGATGTTTTTGCCCTGAATTAAGGTCCTTCGTACATGAAATTAAACTAGAAAATAATAAATGGGAACCACAGCCACAGTAAACAGGTAACATTAATATTCTGTGTAAGAAAATGGGAAATTTTCCAGAGTTGAACTCTGCAGAAAATGTGTAAATGCAATTATTTTGCTATTCTTGTAATATAAGCTTTCAAGCTTACCCTGATATGAGCAATATAAAGAGTATAATATCCTGTGCAAATTTTCTTTTATACTATAACACCTTTTCTTATCCTTTTCCTGGAAAATTGAATTAAACTATCTAAAATTTTTCTTCCAATTGAATATTGTGTGCTTTCAATATAAACTTCTAACAGTGATTAATTTTTAGTCATTTACTTCCTAATGAAAGAAAACAAAAGCACATAGATAGTTCTTAAAGATTTGGTAGATGAAAGACATGACTTATGATAAGCCACAACAATGGTATGCAGAATTTAGCATATTAGATTTCAACTTTTAATCTTAAGAATTAGATTAAACAGAATCGCGTGACAGAAACATACTACAAGCAACTCAGTCCTTCGGTAACTACGAACATTAAATGGTCTATGTGTGGTGATAAGAAATTTGAAAAGGTTGAAATGTTTGCTTTGTGTATTGTACATGAATACTTTTGGAAATTACTGTGTTGCCCAGAAGAAAAAAAGGATGATTTTGTTACTGTTTTGCTAAAATTGACGTATTTTTATTTTATTTTAAAGGAGTGAAAGATAATAGAAAGGAATATGCTTGTTGATAGTAACATTGTAATAAAAATATTTTTAAATTCCTGCATTTCAGTACTGGAATAAACACTCTGAAATCAAAAAGCTACTACAGGCAAGATTTATTTAACAGTTAAGATGTTCTCCTGTTGGGGGCAGCTAGGTGGCACAGTGGATAAAGCACCAGTGCTGGAGTCAGGAGGATCTGAGTTTAAATACGGCCTCAGACACTAGAATACTTTCTAGCTGTGTGACTCTGGGCAAGTCACTTAACCCCAATTGCCTCACCAGAAAAAAAAAAAGATGTTTTTCTGTATGAAACTCTGTAATAATTTTTTTTTGATTCAAGCGTGATTTCATTAATGTAGATAACCTTCAGTGAGGAAACTCTTTCTACCAAAGGAGATTAGGAGCCACCCTACAACTTAGAGTCTTACAGAGATATGCAGTGTACCAAGAGTAACAACTTGTTCAGGGCCATGGAGCCATTATGTGTAAGAGATGGGACTTGAACCTAGTTTTTTCCAACCCCAACCCCTACGCTCTGTCCATTAGACCATATTCCCCCTCACTGAAACAGCTGTTCTTGAATTTTATGAGTAAACCATACAGTAACTACCTAGAAACTGATAGCCTAATCAGATATATTCATGGCTAAAATTTTAGAAAAAAAATCCCTCCTTAAGAAGCCTGAAACAATGTTTTAACTCTTTAATACTCAAACGTCCTTTGGCTGAAAGGATAATTTTGTGTTAGTCAATACATGAATATACCAAAATCCAGACTTGATAACAAATATAAACCATTACCTCCAAATTCCTTTCTAGCAGGTGCGGGACTCCTACTCCCTTTTAAAGTCATAAGAAAAGTACGCAGCACAAAGGAAAATGAGAGTCAGTGACAGAACTGGAGAGTTAGGAGAATCAGATGTTTAAATGCTACTTAAAACAATTCATTCATCATTTTAAATAAATTATCTAGGAACTGCACAAAAGTATCTAAGACCTACGGACAGTATCCATTATGTATATGCACACACTTCCAACAATGTGCCGTCTTGTAAACATTTCACAGAGATAAGCTGTTTTCCTCAGAGAGAAACTTTCTTTTATCAAATATATATATGTAAAATTTAGTAATCTCAAAGCTAATAATAAATTGTAAAGAAGTTACTAAATACATCAAATATTCATATTGAAAAAGGCAGAGACTGGTTTGCACAAAAAGAAAACCAATATAGATTTCAATATGGAAGTCTAGGTACCTAACTATATCCAATTGCAAAAACAAAAAAAATTACATATACATTAATAGGAGAGAAAAAGAATCATGTTAGAAAAATCTAATTTATGGACACTCATTTTATGTTTGGTTATGTCTACCATATGTTTCAGAAAAAGGTGGACAGAAAAGAGTTAGGATATAAGAGTCAGAAGTTTAAAACAAGCAATATACTAAAATATGAAAGGGCTGAGTATAATTTTTAAAAAGTCCATTGGAATAGAAATAAATTAATGGCACACACTATAAACAACAAGGCAGTTACCTGAAGGAGGGGGCGGTCTTTGGGGTGGAGCTGGACGTGTGGGGGGGGCAACTGGACGAGGAGGAGGAGGGCGTTTAGGCTCCAAGCTCTGGGAAGGCTCTTTCTGTGATATTACTGGTTGAGTGTCAACAGGAGAATCTAAAACAACAACAACAAAAAACCATGTATTTTATTTGAAAAATTACTTTCTCTGATGTGCTTGAAGACAATTACATTTTTTTTTTGGAGGGGAGAGGCTAATTCAGTAAGGTACAAAAAAGCTAGATATTCTCATTTTGCAAGTGGAAAAATTAAGGAACAATGCCCAAAGCCAATTTAGAGTAGCAATTAGAATCTAGATCACTAAAGAGCACCTTCTATGGATAAAATGGCATGGGAGGAGTCTGGTGGTTCACAGTTCAACCAAAGGAAGTTGCTCACAGAGTTACTTAGCATGTGTGTCAGGCTCCTAAGGCATTCTGATGGGCTAAGAGTTCATTGGCTTAGTCAGTAATACAGGAGCAGGATATGGTAGGAAGCTCAACAAGGCAAGTGAGGAGGCTGAGATTCTCGTTCCACTTTTGCAACTAGCTGGGCCAGTCTCATCAAATTATAACTTCCCTGAGCCTCAGTTTCTTCACTGATAAAATGAAACAGACCAAGGTCGTTAAGGTATTTTCCAGATCTAAAATTCTTTGATTCTACAAATCAAATCCAAAATTCTTTGGTTCTAAGATCAAATCCAAGAAGAATTTGAACAGTATGTCTATCTTTTGAAGGTTAGTTATGCTGAGTAAATATAATGCACAAGTTTGGCTCCAGAAAAGAACTGAGAAAATGCACTTCCTTCCCCTCGCCATGGAGTAAGGAATATGGTATATACTGTTAGCTTGGTCAATGTGTTGTCTAGTTTTGCTGAACTGCTTTTTTTTCTCCTCTTTTAAAATCTGTTACAAAGGATAACTCATAGGAGAAAGTACATATTTGGAAATGCACATGACCTAAAGAACAAACATCGATAAAAATGATAAATTTTTTAGAAAGTCTTATTCAAGAAAATCTAAAAGTCGCCCAAACATTTTATCTATCACTTGAATATTTCTAATTACTGTGTATCCTTTCAATATAATGTATGTTCTTTGAGGGTAGAGACTTTTATTCCTGTCTTTGAATCCCCAGCACCTAGCCTAAGTATTTAATATATGCTGGCTAAATTTGTTGTTTATGGAATAAATCTGTAGGGAAAAGGAGATAAAGCCTTTATCCCTCCTTCCTCTTCTTGTCTGTATGGCATTACCTTAATGGTACTAGTTTCCCCTCTTTGCTTCTCACTATACTGGAAAGTTAATCACCAAGCACAGAAGCCATGGTCTACCAGACCTTCCAGCACTGGCTTCTCTTCCCTATCCAGCAGGCTTGGTTTCAGGTGAACAGGCTCCCAACCCTTCTTTCTGCCTTTACCCTGTAAATGGAATCAGCAGAGATCTTTAATAATGGGCTCTTTTCTCTCAGGAACATGATGGGGTTTCTTCTAACTCTCCCTTAATCTCATAGTTCCTTTTGGCCAGCTAGTGACCTTTCTCTTAAAGGTAGAATCTTGCTCTGGGAGCAAGCTGTGGTGTTTATTCCATGTAGCAGCAGCTTCCCCTTCTGATTCATCTGGGCACTGATCTATAGCCCACCTTCCCCTTCCCCAGAGTGATTATAGCTACTGCCAGGGTAGAAAGGAAACATTCCTTATCCCTCTTTTCTTATTCCTAAATGTTTTCTTCTTGAAAGGTGCATATAATGAGAAGATCCTCATTTGGTAAAACCCCCGCCCCTCGTGAAGTTTTGTCTCCTGCCTGTTTGACTATCTAAGCAGCTAGGTGGTGCAGTGGATAGAGCGCTGGGGCCTAAGTCAACACTATAATAACATAAAAGTAAATGCAAATAATTGAATTTATAGTAGTATCACACATAACACATACATCTGAAAATAAGACCAAGTCAAGGACTGAAAACATGTAATGAAAGAACTAGATTCTGGTGACATGAATGAATTTCTTTTTCCCTGTATATAATCCAGTGAAAATTTTTCTTCTCCTACCTTTGGCCTCAAGAAAATAGGTATATACATGACATATAAAGTACTACATACGGTGTGCCAGAAGTACAGTTCAGCTTTTTAAACTTTAATAGCTTAAAGCTGCACTAAGACTTTTGGGACCCCCTGTATATTCCAGACCTTAAATGGAAGTTCCTAGGCAGCAGAGAGAGGTCTGTCTGATCTACTTGCAATGCCAAAAACCTTTTCATTTTGGGGGGGAAAACATACACAGGGACTAAGTTAATGTACAAGATACTTGCACTGTGAAGGAACAGGAGGAACAGGAGGTCCAGGAGCTCTTGATGGTCCTCGGCTTGGTCTGGCAGGAAGGGGAGGGGGAGGACCATCAGCTATCGTAGGGGACTGGCAGGGACTGGACCGAGGGGAACAGCTTGGGGAAGTTCCAAGACTGGAGCCTGAAGCTGGTTGGAGATGCTGAGGAAGAATTTCTTCTACTTCTGCACTGTAGTCATCAATGTCCCCTAAGGAAAAAAAAAATAGTAACGTCTTTTACTAACAAATGGGATATTTTGGACTTCCATCAAAATGAGTCTGTTAATTAAGATTTATTTTCTTTTTTAGTCTTACTTTCTGCAATTTTCACTAATTCTACGATTCAAAGGGCTCATTTCAGAGCCCAGAATTTGAAGGACTAAATTACACAAGCCACCTATCAACTTCACAAATAAATACAGATTAAGCATGTAGGCTTATTTGAAACAAACCTAAAAACTATTTAATGAAGCTAAAGGAATGAGAGTCTACATTTCAAGTCCTTGTAGTTTGACAAATTTACTTGCACAACTCTGTAAAGTTCAATTCTAAAGACACATTAAGATATACAGGAAGTTGTTTTGAATACAATATATATTTTAACAACCAATATATTTATTACTAATTAAAATGATACAGAATTGGAGAAGATAGCCTAAGGAAGCAAAGGTTCAGCAGAACCTATGAATTTGAGAATGCATTGGTTTACTTACATTTCTATGCTATTTCTTTGTCTCATCAATCTTCTGTGTTTATCATTCATGTCTCCCCAACAGCTTAACAGTTTCTATTTTCTAATACTTTGATGGATTTGTGATTTTATCAATCACGCTAATAATACATCCATGCCTGCCCATACTGATTACTCATTTGTATATTTTCATAAATACAAACTGTTATCATAATGCGCTGTGGGGGAAGATGGCAGTGGGGAGGAAGTAGCTTCCTTTAGATCTATTACATTACTTAAATATCATATATGATTTTGTCATTTTGAAGTTCATGTTAAAATTAATGAGATTATAGTGCCAGTTTTTGGTTTTATCACAGTAACAAAATAACATGTTCTTATTTATATTTGCAAATGACTTAGTAATTCAAATTAGATCTCATTTTATTAAAAAAAATTTGAAACAAGAAATACAATATGAAATAAAAACAAATGGACACTGCTAATGTATATCCTAAAAAAGTAGAAGAGAGAGAACAATGAACAATGAATTCAATGAAATTTTCAAAAGTATCTTGGCACAAGTTTTTTTTTTTTAAAAAAGAAAGCATTATAAAGAAGATACTGATTTTTAATGAAGGGAAACAGTCTGTTGGAGGCAGTATAATATAGTGGAAAGAGAACTAGCTATGGAGTTAAAGGACTTGGGTTCAAGTCTCACCTCTGACAATTACCTGTATGACCTCGGGCAAGTTACTTAAATTCCTTGGGCCTTGGTTAGTCTCACATATAAAATTAAAGTTGGCCAAGTTTGCACTCCCTTTCAGTTCTAGATCTATGATCCCATGAATGACATAGAGCTATAAAATTTACTTGCTCAATAAACAGACCTTCCATGACAAAATCTTCAGCAACTTCTGCATCTTCACCAAGCAAAGTTGAACTTGTTGATGGTGGCAATATAATACTAATTTTCTCCAAATTCATTTCTTTTTCCAAATCAGCAATCCAGTTTGGGCTTTTTAAGGTAATAGTTATGATTCGATCTAAAAACTGTATTTGGAGGAAAAATATAAATTTATTAACATGAAAATTAAACCTTCTCCATTAAAGATACTTTGTCCCATTCTTTCCAACACCCCAGAGTGGCTAGAGGGCAGAGCACGTCATACAGAGGCCCCTCCCTGCTCCCTGTTCAGGGAGAGATAGCTGGAGTTATCACAGGAAATGAACCTTTACTGGGTACTATTCTATCACATTGATTAATCACCAGCTACCAAAGTGTAAGCTATATCTCACCTAAATCCCATACTTCTCTTATTTCCATTTACCTTAACTCCATTCCTCTCATGTCCCACTACGGCCCTGCCCACTCCACTTTCATTGTGAACATTCTCTTCATTCTAGACCTCGTTCTCTTGGGAACTCTGTCTATTCATACTCATGGAGACCTGGCTCCCACCAGATGATACTGAATCTTTAGTCATTCTTTCTACTACTGGCTACATAGTCCACTCCTTATCTTGATCCTGGAGAGAGTAGAGTTGGAATACTTATTGTTCACCATTGCCAATTCCAGACTCCTTCTTTGATGCCATCAATCAACACCCTCTTCTATATTTGAAATTCGTTCCAATTTTTTTACCCAGTCAAGATCGCAATAGCGGTTATCTATTGTACCCTGTGGCATTTGCCCTCCTTCCTTAGGAATTCAGGTTTTCCTCTTCACTCCAACACCTTCTTAAATATTCTAACCTCCCTTTCCCAATTACTCAATCTCTTTAATTCCCAAAACTTCCTTTACTCCACAATAATCACACAATTATCAGGTACACAGCTGTCACTCTTTATCTCACGATCACCGTCAAGTGTCCTGTTTCAATGAACAAAATTTCTGAAAAGCTTTTATCAAACCCATACCCTCTTTATCACTCCATCCCTCCCTATATTTTATCTGTCCTTAACCTATTCTTCATCCTCACTAGGACTTCTACTCTATCACTCAAGCACTCTCTCAAGCTATCAAATCTTTTTCCTTCTTTACCAATCTCAACCCTATGGCTAACCAATTCCTCTAATCTCAACCCCCTTATTCCCCTAGCCTACTGAAGTTAATCCTCTGCCAAACTCTAATCCTGGATATTCCCCCCCTCCCTTTTTTTTAGTGATGCAATCAGGGTTAAGTGACTTGTCCACACAGTGAGTAAGTGTTAAGTGTCTGAGCTGTTAAGTGTCTGAGGCTGGATTTGAACTTAGGTCCTCCTGACTCCAAGGCCAGAGCTCTATCCACTGTGTCACCTAGCTGCCCCATATCCTGAATATTCTTACCATCCACCTTATCTGCTTCTATTCACATGCTGAACATGAACAGAAGGAAATGTGAGCTGGAGGAAATCACGCAACCAAACTAACTAGGTTCTCTACAAATTCATATATCTAATCTCAGGGGTCTTCACCACAGCAAGGAAATATGTCTACTCCCTAATTTATTCTCTATGCCATTCTCTATAGAGACTATTCTAAATCCTCCTCCTCTACTCTCATGTTCTAACCAAACTTGTCTTTCTCTTCCTCAGCCATGACACACCATCTCTAGTCTCCATGCCTTTGTATTGGCATTGGCTGTCCTCCATGCCTGGAATGTGCACCCTCCTCTACTCTGCCTCACATAGTCCCCTCTGTCCTTTATGATGCAGCTAAAGCACCACTTTTTACATGAAACCTTCCCTGATGCACCCAACCGCTATTATCCTCCCTCTCAAACTACCTTGAATTTAACTACTTTGGTGATTTCTGCTATTTGTGTTTTTGGTGTTGTTGTGGTTGAGGTGTTTTGTTTTGTTTTGTTTTTTAGCTTTACAAATGGTTTCAAAAAAAGAATAGTTTTCAAAGGATCAAAATTGTGGGTCCTCCTAACAGCAATGAAAAGACACATGGTGGGCATAAATAGGCTGCAGTATAATACCAAAGAACTGTGCAAAAGAATGGTATAAAAGATAATAAAAAAGATACATGACTAGAAAAAATAGATGGACTGGTCAAATAACATGAGAGATGAGAGGTGGACAGCCTGTGTGCTCCACTGGTACCACATGATATTAGGAAAGCTAGAGAAAGCCCCCCAACACACTATGATAATTAAAAAAAAAAGCCTTGATACTTACATAGCATTTTGAGGTTTACAAAGAGCTTTACATACTTTTATCTCAATTATCTCATTCGATCTTCATAACAACTTTGTGAATAGGTACTATTATACTATTCTTTTTTTTTTTTTTTGGTGAGGCAATCTGGGTTAAGTGACTTGCCCAGGGTCACACAGCTAGGAAGGGTCCAGTGTCTGAGGCTGGATTTGAACTCAGGTCCTCCTGACTCCAGGGCTGGTGCTTTATCCACTGCGCCACCTAGCCACCCCTTCTGTTATCCTACTCTTATGTTACAGATGAGGAAACTGAGGATCAACCAAGCTAGTAAGTGTCAAGAATCAGAATTACAATCCAGGTCTTCCTGACACCCAAGTCTACAACTCTTCTTCATCATTACTCTCTGTGGAGGATTTACAGGAAGTCAAGGACAAGTTGCAGAGGATGGAACATGTCAATGGGTTCTGAGCTACATCAGTGTAGGGAAAATCCACATTGATACCACAGATCCATCGAAGTATTGATTTTAAACCTTTTAGTGAAAGCTAACTTGTTTAAATATGTGATGATAATACTCATAAAAATGGCTATTTTTCCTCTGTATTTCAGCAGCTATTGATAATACAAATCATCAGTATACTAAATATTCCATCAGGCTGTGCCAATATAATAAAAAATGAACTATTCAACTTACGGGTGGTGGTTACCTTAAATATTACATCATAATGATAATGTGCCTATATGCCACAGTAAATCCTTTTCTTCTGAGTACCTCTGGTCTTCTTCATTATAACCTAATGACTACATATTTTAGAAATTTATGATCTCACTGGAAGTATGCAGAATAAATTTATAGACAGGCTAATTTGAAGAAGTTGAGACAATTCTGTGTCTATCAATAGTATGATTTGTGCCCAATGAGTCAATAATATTCCGAATAAAGGATAGTTTTGATAATCTAACCAAAATTTAACAAGCTACCAAAATTATTTATCGATGAAATAAAAATTATTATCTATAAGAAGTAGGGACACAATGAAATTAACTGAGTTGAATGATTTTCTCCCTAAGTTGCTTCATTTTCCCTATTTCATATCACCAGCTAAGTGCTAGTTGACTGTATATTCTGTAAGTGATATACAAATATCCCCTGAAAAATATTTAAAATTTTCAATTACAAAACAAACTCTAATGAAAGAAAACCAATTATATAAGGGGCAGTGTGGGGTAGTAGAAAAAGTGTTAGACTTGGAAGTTAGGAAAAAAAGGGCTCAAATCCTACTTCTAATATTTTCTAGCTGTATAGTTATAGGCAAGTTACTTAATCTCTCAGGGTCTCAAATAAGGTGATTTACAGAAAGTGATTTGCAAACCTTAAAGTGATCTATTTATCTACACATGTATGAGGATGTGTGTGTGTGTGTGTGTGTGTGTGTAGAAGGGGGTTTGCTATCATTATGACACCCATATTTTCTTATTATGCAACATCAATGGCAGTTATATTTTATGGTTATGCTGTGAAGTCTGGTACGAGTCTTAGATTTGTACTTAAATAGGAAATATTTCTATCTATAATTCTGTAAGACTAAGAATGACTATCTTTTATTAATCAGCATGACTAGATCAGATTAATATAGTCATAACTGCTTAGAGACCATTTCAGGATCCTTTAGAATCAATAAGACAGTCCCTTACACGACATAGGCATTTTATAAATGTTTATTAAATTGAACAAAGGTTACATTACCTCTTTACCATTTAGGCTCAAAACGCTCAGGGCAGAACTTCCTTCCAAAAATGTTACCCACATTTTGTCTTCTACAAACCTTTAAGATAATTGTAAAGAATGTCAGTTATTTTTATTGTAATAATTTGACAAATCACTGACTTATTCAGTATAAATTTATGGTTGTGAAAATACCAAAAGATAAAACATTTTTTAAAGGGAATTTTAATAAAACTCTAATTTCAAAGGTAACAATTTGTGGCTAAATATTAAATATAATTCTTTATCATTAGGAAAAAAAAACAAAAATGAAACAAAAAGAATTATAGTTAACAGTATTTTCCTTAGAGAAACTTTTCTAGGTTTGGCAATGCTTAGGATTTTTCTAAAGTTAGAAGAAGGATATTAAGAGTTAAATGTACAAATCATGGACATTTAGAGGAAAAGGCTAAAAATGAAAGCTGCTGAAGCAGATTATAATTTTTCTGGTCAAAGGCCATGGTACTATTGCCATAACTGCCTAACTGTAGTCTTATGAAATGAGATAGGAACTATCTGATATTCAATTTGTCCAGCATAAAGCTAGTAAGTTGCTCCTTGCTATCATCTGAAATGTATCAAGTGTTTCAACTTTCTTCAAATTCGATGTAAATTTTCTGGAGTATCTTTGCAGATAACAGAAAAGAATTAAACATATTCTAATATATATACACAAGATTATAAAAACAGACATTGAATCATACAATGGCTATCTCTGATAAGAAAATTATATCCTCACATTCTTTAGTGTTTCTCCCTAGTTCTCCTTAAAAATCCATGATGGCTCTACCATCCTGTATTTTCAGCCTATCACTCTTTGGGGTATGGTGATTTTAAAGATGAGTACTTGTTAAGTTTTTAAGATAACTCTGCTTCTTCCAAGGTTCAACACCTCCCTGCCCCCCATCTCCACTGCAATTTTAGGATAATGAAATTTGGTAAAGAAGTCTATATTTACCCATCTCAATACTTCACAATCTTAAGCACTTCAGTCTTCCTTTTTACATACTGCTAAGTTAATCTTTCAATATACAGTGCTTCCCTTGATTTTGGTTGTCCTTCTGTGAACCGTGTAGACTAAAATGTCTTCAAGTATAGCCAGAACTGCCCACAATATTCTAAGTGTAGACAAACCAAGGTTTGTATAAAGGATGTTTTTTTAGTTTGTTTTTAATACCCATCCTCACAAAACAGCAGCCATTTGGATATTAATGACAGTCCTTGAATGATAGCTAGGAATCTTTTCTAGATCATTAAATAAGAGCTCAGAACCTTAGATGTATGATTTGGATTGTTTTCCTCTAAACGCATTACCTTATACTGCCTTATAATGAGACTTTTCTGCTACTTTTCCATTTATATGAGATGTCTCTGTACTTTAGCCTTGTTGGCTGGGTATTTCAACAATTGCTGGAGCTTACTATCATCTGCACATTTGGAAATTTCACTGTGTATTTCTTTTTTCCAGTCTGGCTCCCAAGTAGCAGTACCTAAGGCCTTTATATAGAGAGCCCCTACCTTTCCAGTCTTCCTACATTCTACATCCCCCTTCTGTATTCACTTGCTGTTCCTTGTGAACAAGACACTCCATCTTTAGGCTCTGGGCATTTTCTCTGTTTCTTCCTAATGCCTGGAATGTTCTCCCTCCTCATCTCCACCTCCTGGCTTTCCTGGCTTCCTTTAAGCTCCAGCTAAAAGAAGATTTGTCTACAGGAAGCCTTTCTTGATCCCCTTAATTCTAGTACTCTGTTGATTACTTCCTATTTACTGTGTGTGTGTGTGGGGGGGGGTGTCTTTTGCTTTTCTTTGTGTCACCAGTGCTTGGCACATGGTAGATGCTGAATAAATGTTTAATGACTGAGATGGGGTACTGTGTGTGAGGAACAGAAAGGAGTCAAGTGTCACTGGATCCCAGAGTACATGGAGGAGAGTAAGTGTAAGAAGGAAGAAAAATAGGAAGAAATGAGGTTATGAAGGGCTTTAAAAGCCAAAAAGAAGATTTTATATTTGATCTTGAAGGCAACAGGGAACCACCAGAGTTTAGCAGGAGTAGGGAGGTGATGGTGGTGTGATGGTGGTGGTGGTGTTGTCATGGTCAAGACCTGTGCTCTAGAAACATCACTGAGTAGAGGATGGACTGGGATGAGGAGAGAGGAGACCAACCTGTAAGCTACTGCAATAGTTGAGGTGAGAGGTGATAAGAGGGTGGGGGGGGGGCAGTGTCAGAGGAGGGAAGTGGGTATATACAAGAGATGTTATGAATCTACCTATTTAAAAGTCTTCAGATATAAACTTTAAAAGATATTTTAAAAGTTTAAAAGTGTTATATCTACTTTTTTATCCAAATACTTATGGATCCAAAGAACTCAAGCTGGCAAGTCACATGACTTTTCCCTTTATAAAAACCATGTTTAATTTTCCCATATTATGTTTAAGGAAATCTGTTTTCACAAACACGTACATGTGTATGCATATGTCATCTCTAAATAAATAGCAGATAGGAATCGTGTAGTCTAGTTTATTATTTTAGACAGAGTTGTCATATTAACAAATGCCTGGAGCAAACAAGCCTAAAAGAACTGAACATACCTAGGAAGCTCAAAGTTTCACATATTTTATTCACTCTCTCAATATTATCTCAAAGTTGGGAAAGCACATTTTACAAATGAAGAAACCCAAGCACATGCCCTATAAAGTGCAGATGTTCAGGTCAGTGGGAAAGCTGAGAATGGCAAATAAAAATTCTTGACCTCTACTGTAGCATTTGACATTGTTGATTACACTCTTCTTGATATCCTCTTCTTTAGGTTTCTATGGCTACCTTTTCCTGGTTCTCTTCCTACCTGTCTGACCACTCCTTCTTAGTCTCCTTTGCTGAGTCTTCATCTAGGTCACACCTGATAAAGGTGGGTGTCCCCCAACATTCTGTCTTGGACCTTTCTCTCTTCCCTTAATACTATTTCACTTGGTAATCTCATCAGTATCCATGGCTTCAACTCAAAGTTCTTCACAAGCTGGTCCCCTCCTACTTTTACAATCTTCTTACTCCTAACTTCCCCAACCTCCCTTCTTCCCTTCACCCGTCCCCCTACCCCCTACTCTTCAATCCAGTGATTCTGGCCTCCTTGCTATTCCTCAAACAAGACACTCCATCTCTAGACTCCAAGCATTTTCACTGGCTATATCCCATGCCTAGAATACTGTCCTTCCTTATCTCTACCTCCTAGCTTCCTTCAGGTTCCAGTTAAAATCCCATCTTCTATGAGGAACCTTTCCTGAACCCCCTTAATGGTAGTGCCTGCCTTCAACTGATTACCTCCAATTTATCCTTGTTTGTAGATAGTTGTTTGCATGTTGACTCCTCCATTAGACTGTAAGCTCTTTGAGAGGAGGTACTTGTCTCTCTATCCCCAGCATTTAGGACAGTGCCTGGCACATTGTGCTTAATAAATGCTTATTGACTAAATAACTTTGAAATTGTTCAAATTGAATACTATATCTTTTCAAAAAATTTCTCATAATGATTTATTTACTGTCTATTAAAAATGGTTATGACCAAAAAGATTGTCAAACTCTTTGTATTTACATTCCCCATTGCCTAGCACAGAGCTTAGCCCACAGAACTAGAGGTTTTATCTTGGTAGCTCATATCTAAGCTCTGGCATAATTTTCACTTAAAAGTATATTCTCAGTTTCATTTTAAACTTTAAGTATGAATTTCAAATTTTAAAAACCTCTAAATACAGCTAGAGAACTAGTTGTATGCCTCATTTAGCTGGAAACTACAAATGCAAGTGCTTAACTTAACAAGGGTATCTGATTCCTGCTTTATTCAGTCTAGTTTATCCTGAAAAAAAAATTGGGAACAGCTTAATCTGAAGACAGCTAAACTGAAAAGTGAATCATGAATCATTAAATACTCTCAAATTATAATAATTAACAAATGTTGTACTTACCTTATGAGGATAACTTCACCATAGTTTGCAAATTGCTGGAGAAGCTCATCAATCAAGATATCATCAAAAAAATTATTTTCTGGTAATGAGCTTTTGATAGAGACCAACACTGTGCCATCTGGCGGCCCTTGGGTTGCAATGACTTCTTTATAAATATTTTGTCGTGCTTCGGCATCCACTTCAAATATATCTATATCGATCAGTGCAACAACAGGTCTTAAAAGACAAAGAAAATGAAATATATTTAGTCAGTCTTGGGAACATACTGAGGATAGTAAAGGGAAAATAATTAGATTTCAAATTAGAACATCAAAAGGAATATTTAAACTATTTAAACCTGTGATCAGAAGTCTTCAGCTCAGCTCTTCCATAGTGTAGCAAAGTACCAGGATTCCAAGTGTAAAACACTTTGCTTTCATCTTGAAAACTAGCATTCAGAAGATCCAAATCTTCAGCTGCAACCAACATAAAACAAAAATAAAAGAGCAGCTATTTAGATAAAAGAGACTGTGGAGTAGTAAAAAGATATACTTTTAGTTACAATTACATGTGACAGAAAAATTCCCTATTAGTTTAAACCCCACAAATCTTTATTAAGTGTCTATCAAAGCACTACGGTAGATGGATAGGTGCTGGTGGAAACCAAACAATAAACATTTATTAAATGCCTATTACATGCTAGGTAGTATGCTAGATGTGAGGGATACAAATACAAAAAAAAGAAGGAAACAATCACTCACTCTGGAGGTAGACATCATATGCATATCTGACTAGATACAGAATAGATATATACAGTATAAATAAAAATAAACATAAAGTATTTAGGGAGGAAAGGCATGGGCAATGAGGGCTGGGGAAGACTTTGTGTAGAAGGCAGAGTTTGAGTTGTTTTAAAGGAGGTAGGGAAATTTAAGAAGTGGAAGTGACATAAGGCACATGCTGAGCATGGGAAACAGCCAGTGCAAAGACACAGAGATGGGGGATGGAGTGTTGTGTATGAGGAATACTGAGGCCCGTTCGGATACATCACAAAGTATGGAAAGAAAAATAAAGTATAATAAGTCTAGGAAGATAGATTGAGGATAGGCTGTAAAAGGTTTTAAAGCCAAACTGGCATTTATGGTTTATCCTACAGTTTATCTTCCCTCCAACTTACCCTGAATTCACCTTACGTATACATAGCTACCTGCATTTTCTCTCCCCCATTTGAATGTGAGCTCCTGGAGGGCAGGGACTGGGTTGTGTCCCCTCTCCCCTTTCTTTGTATTTCGACCACTTAGCATGGTGCTTAACCCACGGTAAGCACTTAATAATGCTGGTTGGATTGACTGGATCCTAGAGGCAATAAGGAGGAGTATTTTGAATATGTGCAGGGCAATGGCGAATGGGGAGAGGTAGAGAAGAGAAAAATAGTTAGATTTATGCTCAAGTAAGCACTCTGGCAGCTGTTTGGAAGATAAACTAGAGTGGGGAAGACACTTGAGGCAGGGAGACCAACTAATAATAGCTAACATTTACATAATGCTTACTAAGTGCCAGGCACTATGCTAAAAGCTGTACAAATATTATCTCATTTGATCCTCACAATGACCCTCACTCCTGTAAGGGAGGTGCTATTATGATTCCCATTTTACAGATAAGGAAGCTGAGGCAAACAGAGTGACCTGTCCAGGGCTTACAAGTAGTAAGTGTCTGAGGCAAGATCTGAACTCAGATCTTCTTGACTCCAGGGCAGGGATGCTATCCATTGCCCTACCTAGCTACCAATGCAATAGTTTAGGTGAGTGATGATGAGGGTCTGAACTAAAGTGGTACTAGAAAGAAGGTGTGATAGAGATAAATGATTGGATATGAGAGATCTTATTGGAGGTAGAAATGAAAAGATGGGACAACATGGATGAGGAAGATTGAGGACTTGAGGATAATACCAAGGTTATGAACATGGGAGACTAGATGAGTGAGAAAGAGGAGAATTTGGTAGAGGGATGGGTTTGGTGGGAAAAGATAATGAAGTCTGTTTTGGACATATTGAATCTGAGATGCCCACAGGACATCCAATGTCCAAAGGGACACTGTTTGACAGGAAGCTGTGATATGGGACTGGAACTCAGGAGAGTGCCTGGATATAAAGATTTCAAGTGATCTGTAGAGAGTACCATGGGAGCTGATGTGGTCACCAAGAAAAAGTGTAAAGGAAGGACAAAAAAGTGTGTGTGGGGGGGATGTCCAGCACAGAATCCCGTGACACAAAGTTAGGTTAAAATAGTCACTACTCTCATTTAGCTCATAGCTAAGTAGGAGGAAAAAGACTGATGATTCACAATAGTATGTAAGTGCACCACAGAGGTTTAAAACAGAGTATTTTGTGAGTTCTGAAAGGGCCAGAAAGGGACTATAAAAAGCATCCTGAAGGTATTGATATTTCAGTTAGATGGAGGGATGGGAACAGAAAAGGCACAGAAGGAGAGGAAAGCCATTCCAGTCACAGGAAAAGGCATAATTCACAGCACAGAGAGGGGAACATACAATAAATGTTCAGGAGACAGAGTAATCCAATAGGATACATGAAAGGAAGGACCATGAAGTAAGATTGAGGAGGTATTTTAGTAGTACCAAATCATAGAGGGTCTTGAATACCAGGCAAAAGAATTTTCACTTTACTCGATGAGCAGCAGGGGCACTGAGGACTTGAGCAGAGAAACATAACAAGACATATGGTACACTAGTCTGGCAATAGGATTAGAAGAATAGAGGATAGGGACTAGACTCATGATTTCATTGGTATAAGGAACTTTCAGGTACAGAAACTCCTTTTACCAATGCAGGTCAGAATCTTTTCTGCAACTTAGGACCTTACAGAGTTGCCAGAGCAATGAAAGGCTGTGTGAGTTGCCCAAGGTCACACAGCCAGTATGTATCAGAGACAAGACTAGAATCTAGGTATTCTTGGCTATAATGGTATAAAAAAGAGATTTTTCTGTCAGTTAGAACCTAAGGATAATCGAACAAGTGCTATGTAATTTCTCAAATAGAATCTAGCTTGTTCTCCTTCTTCTTCACAGGATCAGATTCAGGCCTGGAAGGAACCTTAGAAGTTACCAAGTTAAACTGCCTTCTTTTACATTACATAAGGAAACAGACATAGAACGACTGAGTGACCGACCTATGGTCACAGAGGCAACATAGACAGAACCAGGTTTTGAATATGGGTCCTCTGATTGCAAATCCTGCTGTCTTTTCACTGCCGCATGCTGCAGAATACACCCCAGAGTGCTGTTTATCTGCAGAGTCTGTCTAGGACATATGAATAAAATCCATTTCAATGGGCCACTTACCTAACCACACATCACATTCAGGACATTAAGCTTCCTTCATCCTTATGACTTTCCCAGAGTAGGGTTGGTCATAGATCTCCTGCAGAGTTCAGTAGTATTCTGGAGTTTCTGGCAATCAGCACAATACCATGTACAACCAGAAGCATCTGGAGGATCCTCCAGAAAAAAGCGATTGCTTTTTTCATCGAACTTGGAAAAATCTGCTCTGTGCCAAAGGCACATACCTTTGGTGAGCATATCATTGTCATGTACTTCACTTAATAGTAACAGGATTGCTAAATAAAATTATCCTTGTGGTTTTGCCTCTCAAACAACCTTGAATAATAACATATGGATGAAAGAACCCTTATTGGAAAGGGAGGTTACATTTTGCTCTATAAATCATATGTTTGTTTGTTTTTAATAATGAGAATAATCCTGATTCCTAAGGAATAGCAGTTATTAGTTATTCTGAGTTTTTTGGAAATGCTGTGATTTTTTCCAGTTGGTATTCCCATTCTTTTAGATGTTTTAAAAATTAATCCTTTAATGTTTTCACAGATTTTTACTGAGTATTCTTATACTATTCCTATTTTCATCCTCAGTTCCATTTCCTCATCCTCATTATTACACACTGTGGACTGAAGGGTCAGTTTCCAAATATGGTGGTTTTATTGTCACAGATGACAAGAGATCACCATAGAAAAGATGAAAGGACCATTTTGTTTTTCATTTTGTTATTATTTGACCTAGCTGGGTCTCATGCAAAGCTTTCTGTCTATCACTTGACTATTTTTTTTTAGGGATGCTGCTCATGATATTTCACCATTTTCCTCTGTAATATTTTGCAAAAGAATATATTCTTTTTTTTTGTGCTTTTTTTTTGGTGAGGCAGTCAGGGTTAAGTGACTTGCTCAGGGTCACACAGCTAGTAAGTGTCAAGTGTCTGAGGCTGGATTTGAACTCAGATCCTCCTGACTCCAAGGCCAGAGCTCTATCCACTGTGCCACCTAAAAAGAATATATTCTTTTTTTTTTTTTTTTTGGTGAGGCAATTGGGGTTAAGTGACTTGCCCCAGGTCACACAGCTAGTACGGGTCAAGTGTTTGGTCTGAGGCCGGATTTGAACTCAGGTCCTCCTGACTTCAGGGCTGGTGCTCTATACACTGTGCCACCTAGCTGCCCCTAAAAGAATATATTCTTAACCAACATCCTTGGCAGATACATCTCCTCATTTGTAAAGGAGGATCCGTATTTGCTGGCTGGCTAAAGCAATTATTTGGCTTTTTTATACTACTCATTATGGCAATGATTTTAAATCAGTTAAACCTTTACAGGAAATGAAAAATGATAATTTATTCCTCTGTGTCCCATTTTTGGAGCATGAAATAGTAAAGCATGAAATAGCACTTGTAATGACCTGTAATGTCATCTCATATTTAACCTCCCTTCTACTAAGGTGCTGATTTTTGTTTGTTATAGTCAATGGCACATGTGTACATAGATGATTGACTCAGAAATGGTTTCTCCTACACTTGTTACCAGATGTTTCCTGCTTGTTAAGTCAATTTGATTTTTTTGTGATGTTGGTTAAGTGTTTTCCACATCCCAGGCCTCTAATTTTCTTCTCAAGGTGTTTATGATATAGAAGTCTGAGGCTTCTAAGTGTATAATACAAGCCTTTCAGTTCTTATTTTTTAATCTTGAACCATGCTTTCCAGTACAATTTTGATGCCCTTCTTTGCAATGAAGTCACCTAGTATCATTGAATATGTTGGCTTAATTTGGAGGATCTTATTAATTTCTTCATAAAATTTTTCTTTCTCTTCATCTTCAGCAATAAATTTTGCTATATAAGCTGCAATTATCTTTGAGGTAGTCAGTTTGCTATACTTATCACAAATTTTAAATTGCAAGATGACTATCACATGAAATTATTTTTTTCTTTGGGTACATGATGAAATCACACCATTTGCCCCTCAAAGGAAAATTTGTGAGTCATCTACCCATTTTTAGCTATCACTTCCATTTGTCATTCATTTCTAGGTAAAACATACCTATTAATAGGGTTCATTTCCACCACAAATGTAAAAGAATACAAACAATTAAACTAACATTTCTAGATATTCTAAAACCTGTGATCTTAGCATTATTACAAAAGCAGAAGAGGGCCATGAAAGACTGAGAAATAAATTTATAATTTTTTTGATGTTGCATGGGCGCCAAAAAAATCCATCACTTAGTGGCCAAGCTCCTGAAAATGAGCCTTTCCATATTTAGGCTGACACTTAACAGACCGTCTCTCACCAGGACCATTCTCAAAGCCATTTTAGCTTAGTAGCAACTGTCAGAGCTGATGCTCAGCTGACACAGCTTTTGAGAACCCAGGGTCACCTTCATACCATTATGAAGAACTAGAGTTAGACTTCTACTACTTAACAAAAAAGCTCCAAAGATGGTATTACCTATCCCAGAATATTTGAAAAGCTTTTGACAAAGAAGAGAAAAACACCATTTCAAAATCTATATGTGTACCACTTTAGAGATATTAAAGTTTATAAAGTCAATATGAATATATTGGTGTTCAATAGATAGCTTTATTGAAAACATTTAATTTCCTCTTGACTCTTTATGGGAATGAATATCACAAAAATATGAATGGAAACAATACCCCAATATTGTAAAGAGCTTAATAAATTCAACATGGGGGTGCTTAATTTCTTATTTTGCTAATCTTAAAAAAAATGGGCAAATTAAATCTCTAGAATACGTTTGTTTTTCTCAATTGACTTTATATTACTCTCCTACTTACTAATTTGATCTTATTCAATACCATTTAATTGAACAGGTAATTCCCCAACCTGATCTATCAAAAGGCCATTTTCTTCTTCTCCAAAGAATGCGATCTGTCCAGGCCGGGGTACGACATTTTTCACTGGTATCGTAGTCATCAGAAAACAAATCATACTTGTATGTAGGAGCAAAAGTTATTTTTCCTTCTAAAAATCCTCTAAAGATCTACAGCAAACAAAATATATATTTTGTAAGTTATATTAAAATACAACCCAAGTTAAATATTTGCTATTGCTATAATTCTTTTCTTTTCTAAAGGGTAGAAAAATATGTACTTATCAATCACTTCTCTCACTCAACAGAGTAAAAAATTAATAAAATTGCCTAAGATGAAATGATTCTCATATTGCTTGTTTTTCTTTAAGTACAGCAGGCTAACAAAATCAGACATAAGGAATTCCATCAGAACTCCCATTGATGTAGATTAGGTTATTATAGTACAAAGGCTTTTTAGAAATAGAACCAAAAACCTTCATTTTGTAGGTGAGGAACCTTGAAGCTCTAAATAGTGAAGGTGATTTGTCTAGGGCCCACATAGGTGGGAAAACAAGGAATAGAACCCAGTTGTCTAAGTCATAGTGCATTCTTTCTACCATAATTTTAACAAACAGATAGACTGAAGTTTCTCCTAGTGTTGAACCTAAATATGAATCTTCACTTGCTTTCATTTTAATCAAGAAAGAGCTCCTGAGAAAGATGGTATTTGCAACAGCCTATATAACATGAGAAATATAGAAATGAAGGTAATTTTCAAGCGTATGGACTTTTTGGTTAAAAACTTAAAAGAAAATTCTTCTACAAGGCATACTATGCATGGCTAGAGCTTAAAGACATAAGAAGTAGGAGAAAAAAGCTTAAGTTTTTATAACAAAAAGGTAGAAGAGCATGAGATCTTTAAGCCTACAAAAGGACAGTCTAAAATTTCTAACTTCTAGCCAAAATTTACTATCCCCCCAACATTCATGAATACATAGAAATAAGATTTTACATTTTCTTCTCAAAATGAAGAGGCAATTTTATAAATATAAAACGAAAGTTCTTATAAACCTTCTAAAAATCATTCTATTGTCTTCTAACACTCTGTTAACAGTTTAAACATCCTACTACTCAAGTCTCTGATATTTTAACTATGCTCATGATCAAAAGAAAAAAAGTCCCTTTTTCAAGATATGACAACTACTAATGATTTCAAAAGTAACCATTTCCTTGAAGGTGTACCTGTCCGGAATTTTTCTGATTGATAAGTTGATCTCCTGCTATAAGCGAATCCCAGTTCTGATGCCTTATTAGTTCTTTAACTTCTTCATTTGGTAGATCTATTCGATAATTAAAATCACCACACCAAAATATATAGTCATGTGAAAACAACATCCTCCCCTGGAAAAAATGAGATGGACATTAAAACAACTTAAAAAAAAAAACATTGCAAACTTTACTTTTCCCTAGACACTATTCCCTTTGGTCCATGTCTTTGACCTTGCTTTATCTAAATATGACACAACAGTAGAAATTTATGTTAATAATTCTGATATCACAGGATGATCTTAGGTGTCTCCTGACAATATTAGTATAGGTATTTTTGCAAATCCGAACACATATACTATGAGAAGCTACATTCTCTAGCAACCAGCAATATAAGCTTACCATAGGAAAGCTCAGTTTTCGGGCTATTTCTATAAAATCATCATTCCTTTCTTTGACTTGTGATTGCCCTGCAGCAAAGTGACTGCAGACAAAGCAAAGGCTTGTTGTGTGGAATAACATCCGTATTGCAACCGCTCCTTTATTTCCAGTGGCACCTCCCATTCCAGTCTTCACAGTATCAACTCCAACATCCCTTTAAAACAAAGAACTCTAAAACAAGGCTATTCAAGTGCAATAGCTCCTTAGAAATGAGCAAATACATATATTTGTATTATATACCATAAAAATACAAGCTATATGCCTAACAGGTGAATTTTGAGATGCTATAAAAAGCCTGGAGTCCATTACAAGTGGCATTATAAAATAAACAATCATTTGTTTTAAAATCTAGAACCATTATTACAGAAGCATCTTCGAAACAGCCCACATTTTCTAGCTCCATTATGTTAACTCATTCTGTAGCACAAAGCAGTATTGGTAATGCTTACTATTTACCGACCTGATAAAAGGAGCATGCTGCGGTCTGATAAAAACGAAGAGACAGACGCCTACTAATTGCTCAGAAGCCAGCAACACATATTTTTTATCTCTGGAGATAGTCTTCTGCAGTTCAACAGCCCACAATTTCTGATTAGTTGTACTATCATAAAAAAGTAAAGGTTTAAAAAGGTTGCACTGATAATTCATAACTTCTTTATTCTGTATTATAACACCATAGATAATGATGAAAACCACACTAACAATTCTAAATTTTCTAGTTGCTTTTCTCCCCCTGAGCATTTTGTGATCTTTCCTTCTCACTTTAAGCTAAAATGTTCTACCTTCCTTGAAATTTCTCACTGCATGTCTGTTTCTTTCCAACCCATTAGAATGTCTGCTCCTTTAGAGCAGGGTATGTACCATACCTTTGTCATCTCAGAACCATGCACAATGTCTTGCACGCAGTAAGTACATTAGAAGAGAATACAAAGTTAGTATTTTTATCCCTCTCACAAAAAACACTACCTCCATTGTTGCAGATAAATAAAGCTTTCAAATTTATTTTTATGCCATAACAATAAACTCAATGACTACTAGGACTGGTTTTATTCTGGGATTCAGCAAAATCCAGCCACAGCTTGGGATCCCGACCTGTCATTCCCATCAATGAATGCCAGAACCTTGAAGCAATACAGAAGTTTTACTATGCTTAACAACACTTTAGAGAGACTATTACACATTTCTATTTTCTTTTGGGGAGGAACTTATTAAGCATAAGCCACACATTCTTGAATCCTTTCTACAAAATGTGTTTGATTAGTGAGAGAGACCTAAAAGTAATACATTTTGAAATCCCAACCAATGGCACTATTATTACTTTCTGAAAATGTATATGTGTGTGTGTATGTGTCACACACATACATACCTACATATATATATATAATATATATATATATCTTTTAAAATACTTTTTATTTTTACATCACAGTCCCAATATATCCTTCCCACACCCTTACTCCAACCCACAATCAGTTGTGTAGCTGTAAGTAATAAACTGCCACAAAGTAATAAAGTAATAAAAGTGCAATAAAGAAACAAAATAATAAAAAAAGCAATTCAGCAAAACTAACCAATTCAATGTATTGAGTTTCTTTATTATTAGAGAACATCTGATAATAAATTTGCTTCTAAAGAGATTAGTCTGCAACAAAATGAATGGGTTCATATTCAGAAAGGGCAGTTTGTTCCTTTTAACCACAATAAGTACGCTGAAATCTATTTTATAATTCCCAACCGAATAGGGCTTACTTAAGGTGGATCTGTTCTTGTCTCTTTCAACTGGATTTATTGCTGGACTTCACAGATGTGTTTCACTGTCATTGTTTGACTTAAACAATGGTTAGTAGTCTATACACAAGGAATACCAATATATTAAAGATCTAGAGTCTTTCCTAACAAATGTCACTTGTCATATACATACAAAAGGGATTCTGTATGCTCTGAAGACTTTACAAATATGTGTCATCACTAATTTTAATGTAAGTACTACAATGCTAGAGCGGGGCTCTAGTGCACGGTACACTATAAAATAATAGAATTTAGAGCTGGAAGTGAACACAGAGATCATGTAATCCAACCCTCTATTTTGCAGAAGAGGAAACTAAAGCCAAGAGATGTTATGTGACTTATCCAAGGTCACACACGAGAACACAGATAATATGCAATACACATGATTTAAACCTAGAGACTCAGAGTGCAAATATTTTTTTCCATTACATCACACTAAGCATATGGAATTAAAAGTAAGTTTCCAATGTTTGAAGGCCCAAAATAATTTTCAAGTTAGCAAGATACTAAAAACAACAGAATAAAAGGGAAGTCTTGGGCCATGAGTGAAAAATGAAGCAGTAATGAGTGCAACTTGTTAAGTCAAGAGTCAGTAATCTCATATACTACCATTGCAAGCATCAGAGTAACAACAATCCTCTCCTTTCATTTCAGTTCTCATTGCTCCTTTTCTACTATTACCTAAGAGGAAGTAAAAGGAATGATGGATCCCAAAGTCAGAGGTCTTGAGTTCAAATCCTAACTCTTATTATTTACCTGTGTGATCTTGGGAACTTTCCCCTCTGGCTGTGTTTCCTTACCTATAACATGAAGGGATTGGTCTAAGATACCTTTAAGACCTCTTCTAGAATTAAATGTATGATTCTATAATTCTTCCTTCTCATAGTGATCTGCATTTGGGGTTTCTATATTTACAATTAGAGAAGAATTACCAATCTCTGTTAGTGGAAGTGTTGAGGTTTTGAGGTTTAGAGGTGCTGGGACCCCAAAATCACAACATGTGGGTCCTGCCCGAATTAATTTGACTCAAGCCTTCTTTCAACCAAAGACAAGGTTTATTAAAGACCTGCCATATTGGCCAGACTCTTAAGAAATCTAAGCATTTGTATCACTAATGCAAGTGGGCCAGATCTTAAGAATCTGAGCCTGTGGCCAGACTCTAAAAGAATCTGAGCCTTAATGGATGCCAGATGGACCTTATGTACAGAAAGACTGTGGGAGGGATCCAGGAGTGGCCAAGTAGTTTGGGGTGACTGGAGGAGGGGTCTAGGAGAAGGGGTATCTTGATGGGAATGGCTAGTAAGCAAGGGTGACCGGAGGAGGGGTCTAGGGAGGATCTTGATGGGAGTGACTGGGAAGTTGAGAATGGGGTCTGGATAGGTCTGGAGGTAACAGACAGTAGAGGATTGGGTGCAGGCAATAATGAAAGGCCAGTTGATAGGATTATAGCCTTAGGCAGAGATTTCCTTAACCAAGTGGAGAGTTTAAGGAGAGTCCATAGACAAATAGGACCCAAATTCTTTTTGGGGTGAGGGGCAAAGGTCTTGGCTTGGGCCTGTACCTCATCAGAAGGAGTTCCTTACACTAAGGTTTACATATCCCCTCTGATTCCTGCCTGGTTGTGTATGTTCTGCAGTGACAAGTTCTATATATTCACACAACTGTATATCATAGTCTGGGCACTAGGCATTTTTCATGCACTTGGATTTTTCTATACAGCTAGTCAAAACCAAACTCATTGCTAATGTCTGGGCCAAGAAGAACAAAAATTAAAAACCCTATGCATGGATTTACCTGCTTTGAACTCCAAAGTATCTCATAGCCAAATTAGCTTCACAAATCTGATTTAAACTAAGTTCTCTTTATAGTATTACACATTTTCCCTCTGTGTTACTTTTTTGGCTTACCTTGCACTCACAATGTTTCCAGCACTTAATTCTACCATTTCTTCAAAACCAATTGCAAATATGTCAGTAGGCTTATTTCTTCGATCTACAATTAAATATTTGAAAAGGATATTAATATGTACATATTCACAAGAAAATTTTCCAAATATAACTAAGATTCCATTAAAACTTAACTTGATCAAAATCTATCCACTAAAAAGACATACAATTTCAAATCTGATGAAATCACATTAAATCTCTGTTCAAAAGCCCTACATTTTAAGCTTATTTTATTCAAGTAGAAATAACAAGCTTTTTGCAATCAGAACTCCTTTCCTAAAGCAAATTGCAATAACTACCAACCCATTAGATTACTTTTCCATTGCTACAAAATTTTCATGAGAATAATGTATACACAAATGTAAAATGAAGGGGCTTTTTGATAAAGGTATGAGAAGGATACAATTAGGCTTTCACAGATGTCATCAAAGCAAATTAAATCTTTGCAGTCATACTATTTAATTAAAGGCATAGATAATAGCCTATTGTACTTGTTTGCTGATTATAAAAAGAATTTAGTTCAGTAGAGTGAAATAAAGCCTTAAGGGCTCTCTTTTCAAAATGTCTCCCATATCAAAATCGTACAAGATTCTTTTAATGATTCAACATAACTCTGTTCAACAATTCTCTCAATTATTAATATTATACCAGGTATAAAGCAAGGAAATGTATGTTCATCCTAAGGGGTTTGCTACCCTCAAGAAGGATTTCCAGAGCACAGTTAAAATCAAAGAGATGTTCCCTAAAGATGGTACGGTCCTCTAGATACTCTTGACTGCATCAAGACCTTAAATACTGTATAGAGCCTTTAAAAAGATCAATAATTGCTCTAAGAAATTTGGCTTAACTAGTCACACATGAGAAACCAGAAGAATGAAAAGTGTCTGCCTATTGTGCAGATTACATTATGCAGTTGTATAGCTACACAAAGAGTTGTCACATCAGAACACAGGGATGGAAGAGTATGTAGATGGACAATGTATTGGCCCTAGAGCTAAATAGGAAGAAAAGAACAGCTGGACTGCCCCTGTGAAATGGTGCAGTGATTTTAATAACTCTTAGTTTCTTCCTGAAAGATGAAAGGATGGTGGTACCCTTCATAGCAAATTTAGAAGAAGGGTGAGTTTTGAGGAAAAGATAAAAAATTCTGTTTTGGAGATGATGAATTTGAGTAGTATATGGTACATTCCGTTTGAAATGTCATCTACCAATACCACCACCACCACTACTACTACTACTACTTAACATTTATATATAAATTTAAGGTATGTAAAACACTGATGTTACATGGACCAAGGCGTCACATGTATAAAGATAAATTTAAACCCAAGAGAGTTGATGAGATCATTGAGTATAGAAAAAAAAAAGGGCCCAGGACCAAGCTTTGGGTATACCTCTAGTTCATGGTGTGATGGGGATGAAGATCCAGCAAAGAAGAATGGGAAGGAGAAGCAAGAGAGCAGAGTGCCACAAAAACCAAGGGGAGGGGATCTAGGAGGAAAGGGTAGTCAGTGGTGTCTAAGGTTGAAAAGTCAAGAAGGTCGATGACTGAGAAAAGGCCAATAAATTTGGCAATTACAACACCACTGGTAATTTTTGAAAGAGCAGTTTGAATTGAGGCATGTGATCAGAAGACAGACTGAAGGTTAAGAAAAGAGAAAGAGGGAAGGAAGTGGAGGGATAGAGCTTTAGGGATAGGTGGCTTTTTTATGTTTCGCTGAGAAGCAGGAGAGATTATATGATCACCTTAGCTAGAATCTGGTTAAGAATTTATTGAAGATGGGGAAGGCATAGGCATGTTCATAGACAGCAAACAACCAGTATGTAGGGAGAGACTGATTAGAGTGAGAGAAATGATAGTGAGGGCAATCTGCTGGAGAAAATCAGAGGGGATGTGTTCAAGGGGTTAGCCTAGGCAAGGAGAAAAGGAGTCAAGGAGGAGAGGGGAGAAAAAGAGAAGACAGAATGTATTCAAGGGATATGAGAAGAGGAGTAGAAGAAATTTGTGTTTAATAGTTTCATTTTTTAAAAAAAAATAAAAAAGGCTTTCAGCTCAGAAGATAGAAAGAAGTGCTGAGCGAGGCTTGAGGACAGAAAAGGAAGTTTAGGACAGCCACTGTGGTGAGTGGAATAAAGAAATAATTATAGAGAAGTTGAAGGATTGGTTTGCTGTATAATGACCAAACTGAGATTAGATATCAAATTTTTAGTGGATTCAGCACAGTTCTATGACTTCCTTTAGTTCCATTCAGCAGCATATGAATAGGAGTGAAGAAGGAAGATGGTGGAAGTAATCTAGGGTTGGGTTCAATTGGCAATAGGACAAAGGAGCAAGGATTTGAGAGTAAAGGATAGTTTAATGCTGAACTGGTATAATAAAGAGTTAACATTGGGAAGTGAAGAGAGCTTAGCCAGAACAAAGCCTTGTAGTCCCTCACTGGTAGTGAGGATGAAGAATGGGTTGTATTAAGTAAGTAGATGGGGAGAGTGGAATAACAGATTATGATAAGATAGAAGAATTTTGGACCTGAATATGGAAGTGGTACACTTGTAGGTGACGAATTTAAGATTTCTGTGTGTAGCTGAGGTGAAGTGGAAGAGTAGATCATGGGAGGTGAGTAGATTAAGGAATTGGAAAGTTAGAAGATTTGAGGGAAGATTAATAGGTTTGTTCAAGTCGTTAAGTAGGAGGGCAAGAATTGTAGTAAAGAGGGAGACTATGAACAAGGCCCTAAACTCACCAAGGAAGGTGAGGGTAGTCACCAAGGAAGGTGGCGGACAATGTCCTAGAGAGGGTAGATAACAACCACCAGGATCTGGGTGAATGGCAAATTTCGATAGAATGAATCTCCAAAGAAGGAGAGGCTGCTGAGTGATGGTAGCAGAGGAAGTCTGGAAGTGGCAATAGGGAGCAAGGAATATTCCAGCTCCCCAACAAAGACCAATGAGTTCAGATGATATAAAAGAAGGTGGAATTGCTGCTAAAAAGGATGGCCAGGAAGGTGCTATCATCTGTATGGAACTATGTCTCACTCAGTGCCAAATGATGGAAGGAAAATTACAGGAAGAGATCTAAAATGAAAGAATGTTTGTTAATTATAAAGGAGGAATTCCAAAAGACACAGTGAAAAGGGTGAGGAGAAGTGGAAGGTGATCTGTAAACCTAGAGATGTAAAGTATGTGTGTGTGTGTGTGTGTGTGTGTGTGTGTGTGTGTGTATACATACACACATGTGTATATATACATATATTAATGTGTGTGTGTATACACATGTGAATTATCATGGTTTGGAAAAAAAAACTCAGAAACCATCAAAATGCAAGAAATTGGGGTTATACCAGATTAAAAAAGAAGTAAAAAACAAACACGTAGCTTCTTATACATGTGGCAACTTCAAAATATTCTTTCTAGCAGGCTATAATACTCATTTCTAGAGAACCACCACAAGAACATCAGTCCTGAAAGTTTCTAATCCATAACCAATCCCAAAGTGGCAATGGAATATAAAACAAAAAACTCAAAAGCTATTGTTACAACAATACATTTTTCAAAGAAGGAAAAAAATAAAATCCTCAAAATATACACTTTTCACAATGCACTTTAATTATAAAATTAAATTATAATTTAATTACAAATACTCAAATTTCTTTTGAAGAGAATTGCTTCTCTTTAAATATATATTTTGTTCTCTAGATTAGTAAACCAGGATCAGATTTTTATTAAATTGATATAAGTATCACACCTTGAAATTCTTGGATACCAGCTAACTTTGGGGCATCTAGTAGCCAGTCAGTAAGTGTCTGATTCTTAAATGCAATGCTTCGAAATTGTTTCCCACCATTCACATTCCAGGTTCCAGTACACACTCGAATTTTTTTTGGCTTTGAATATTTATAGAAGTTTTCACACATACTCTTTAGTACCTTTGAAGAGGCTGTAAAAAAAAACAGAAACAAAATTTCATTTTGGCTACATAAATATATTTAATAAAATCAACCAAGCTAATTCAGGAAACATGCCAGGATGATGAAGTTCTCATCAAAACATACATATAAGCATAAAGTACATGCAAAGACATACAAAACTATCAGCTGTGAAAGCAAATTCCAGCACAATGCACTTAACCAATTAACAACAACAAAAGGGACATCACAATAAGCAAAAGTAAAAGCTACTACACTAAAACTGTGGCAATGTCATATGCCTAATCAATAGTTTTGTTCAAACGAACTGGCACATTATAATTTAATCTGAAATGTCTGACAGCTGTATGTAAATTAATATAGAATTTAATCTATTTCTTTCTAGTTTTTTTATTACAGTTATTATCAGAGAATGGTTAAATTTTCTGTGCTGAAAATAGAATTTTCTTTAAGAATTATTTACATTTAATATTTTTGGTGCTGGTAGCCTGGTAAGTTACTAGTCACTGATAAAACATCTAGAGTAGTACTATAAAATAAATGATGTCAGAAACTGAAAAGAAAAATGGATATGTGAAATGATAACACTAAATATTTGTACATTTAAAAAAACTAAATACCATTTTTTATCTAGGGTTATGATGGATCTTTTTTTTTCTTCTGCTTCTATTTTGTGGCACAGTGGAAGTACTCGAAGTCAGAAAACCTGGGTTCAAATTTGAGCTCTGTTTGACTACAGGCAAGTCACTTATCCCTCTCTAAACCCCTCATCTGTAAAATGGAGATAAAACTTGCATTAACATATCTCCTAGGATTGTTGTGAAAAAAGTAAGTCTTATTTCTATTCGAGTCATTTGTACTTCATTTTTGTTAAGCTTGAACACTAATTAGAAGCTGATAATAACTGCCATTTATTTGTAGCTTTATAGAGTTTCCATACACGTTATCTCACTTGATTCATACAACTATCCTGCAAAATAGTAATGCAAGTATTATCCCCATTTTATAGAGGAGGAGACAGGCTTGAGAAGTGAGGTGTCTAGTCTAAAATCATATAGCTGTTAATAGTGAAGCTGGTATATAGAATCAGGTCTTTTGACTCTAGGACTCCAACTCTACCTCAGGACTTAAGGACTTGGTATCCAAAGGGGGCCATTAATAGTTAAAAGGAGAATAACTCAGAACCATATACACACTTTACTCACGTGCCATTCACCATTCTTCATTTAGTCATACAACAAGATGCTATTTTGTAAGTTTTAAAGGGAGAGAGTACAACTCAAATAACACTTACTGGTTAAACAGTAATCAAAATATAATTGCTGGATTCAAGTATTATGAGCAAATGTTTGGGAACACAGAGGGTACATAGATATATAGTGTACACATATACAATACTCTCTACAGATGTTCCTTTCACAAATTTAATTAAGCCTATCTGGTTTATAAATAAGCATAAATCACCAGGTACCACACTGCTGCTGCACGTACACCTTATGACTATGACAACCTTACTTCATATAAGAGTTAAGATTTTTAAATCACTGAATACCTTTCTTAGTCATCAAATACATTTATCCAAATATATATGCAACACACAAGAATTAGTTAGGCACTTAGAAAAATATACTGATATCTCTATTAACAAAGATGTACTCAACATGTTTTCAGGACCTTTATTACCAAAATCTAGAAATTAACCAGAAGCACAGGGATTTTTTCTAACTAGGACAGGGAATTTTCCTTCACTTCCCTGTGATAAGCTATTCTCCCATTGTAGAGCCCCCCAAGGGCTGTCTTCCATTCCCTCTCAGTTTTAGAATTGCATCAGACCCTTTATTTTCCCTCATTTCCTGTTCTAGGCCAAGCTTAGCCCAGGTCATTTCAATGATTCTACAATTACTAATTAAAACAGAAGCTCTTTTTCCTTCTATCTTCACGTAGTAATGCTGGATCAGAAAGGTGTCCCACCTGGTAGTAGGAATTGTTCCAAACCTAAGGAACACCACCTCCCTGGAAGCTGAGCTTTTCTGCCTCAGGAGACGAGGAAGTTACACCAGTGGTTTAAGAACCAACTGCTCACTCCGCCTATAACTCCTATCATATGCCCTTTATTAAATCAGTTGTCAAGTCTGGTCAATTCTGCCTCTACAACACCTCTCACATTGATTCCCCAATGAATAATGTACACAGCCACCATCCTGGTCTAGGCCTCTATCTCCTCTTGCCTAGACTATTATAATGGCCTCCTCATGGTTTTCTTCTTAAGTCCCTCCCTTCTCCAATCCATCCTTTTCCTGACTTAGAAAACAACAAATTAACATTATTTGTGTTTTATTGTATTTTTATTTATTTTGTGAAAACATTTCCCTATATCATTTTAATCAGGTTCAGGACAGGAGTTTGACACTTCTGCTCTACACAGCTACAAAACTGACATTCTTGAAGGGCAGGTCTTACCTGCTTTCAGTGACTCCTTATGGCCATTAGAATAAAATTTCTGTTTAGCATTTAAAGCTCCTTACAAATTGTCTTTAACACATCTTGCCTGGCTAATCCCACAGTCCCCACTCATGAACACTTTGTTATGGGCAAACTGGCCTACATGCTATCTCCCATACATTTCATTTCCTACTCTGCTTTTTCAGAGGCTGTCTCCTCTGCCCCTAGATCAGGAATGCTCTGCTTCCTCATCTCTGCCTCACAGAATCCTTAGCTTCCTTTAAAGCACAGTTCAAGAATTATAGTTCCTAGTTTTCTCCCAGTAGAATGGCAGATAACGGTTTTATTAATGGAAATGACACTAAAGAAGATTCATTACTATCTACTTCAATAGTATACCTTAAGAACCACTGGGTCTTTCCTTGAAAGATGAAAACTCTACATATGTTTGTTCTATTATGATGTGAGCTTCTTGAGAGCAGAGACTGTATAACTTTTCTATTTGAAATGTTCTGCATATATGAAGTGACTAACAATTTTTTTTTTTATCATTCATTCACTCATGTAGAAGAGGTGACCTTGGGGAGATGGGCTACCTCTTCATCAGAGATAAGAGTAAAAGAAAAGACAGTGGGAGATGATATGGATGGGGGAAAGAGGATGGAGGATGAGGGAATTCTGAGCTAATGACTCCAACTTTTTCAGTGGATTATGAGGCAGAGTTCTTAGCTCTAAGGGTAGGAGGGTAGGATTGCTCAGGCGCTCTTGAGGAAAAAATAGAAGGGAGGGGACAGGAAGTAAAGAAAAGCAGCCTTAGAGAGGAAAATCTTAAAATATAATACCAACAACACTTTAAGGGAGAGAAAAATAAGATTAAATTTTCATTTAAATTTATATCTTAAGGTTTCTGGTCATTGTCACAGCTATTAATCACATGCTTAGCTGCAAAGAACAAGTTTATCAACCAGCTCAGATATTTCATGGTAAAAGGTACCCGGGACCAGTCACCAGGAGAATAATTAGGCCCTCTAACTTAATTAACAACCCAAGTGCTTTTTTATGTCAAAAGATCCCTAATCATACAATTGGCTAGCATAGGTCTTCAATCACAGGAAAAAAACCCTTTTTATTCTTCAGTAAAAGAACCTTCTAAGATGAGCTATTTTGCCTCTGACTACCCTCAAAAATCCATTCTCTACTGTGACTAATACTATAGCAACTGGGTTTCTAAAATTTGTCTATTAATATTAAGGAAAAATACCAAAAACATTGATTTTGTTTGATTCAAAGAAAAACTAAATGTAAAGGCCGGTTGTGTCAACTAAAGCATTTGTTAGAACAAGGACCTGGAAAGCTTCATATTTGATCACAGAAAAGGGTATTTATTTCATCTTCCCAAAACCAGAAACTTTTCCTCAATAAAAGCCAACATTTATCTATACTACAGAATGTATAAGCCAAAATAAGAGAATATTTTTAAAGTAAAGGTTTTACGTGTTATTCAAATGACCTATTTTAGAGAACATTAGAAAGAAAAACATTATTTTGCATATTGTTTAATTTGCTGTACTATACCTGACTGCAATGTCTGCTCAGAAACTTTGGATGCATCAAGAAGAAAACAAGAAGACATTAGTAAAATAGTTACTGTCATAAAATCCATAGTGATGTGAGAAAACATGCTCTAAAATATTTCTGAGATGGCTTCACTTTTTAAAAAAAACTCATTTTGAAAAAAATATTTTTACTAGCAAGAAGTTAAAAATAATCAAAGAGATAGCTTCACGGTATAACTTTCAGTTCTCTACCAATTTTAACATGAGTATTTCAGAGATTTACAACCAGCAGGCCACATTATTCCTTGAACTGCCCCACAGGCTACTAATATTTGTGTGCACATGAATTCTGGTGGTCAAAGCAGAAAATGAGAAAGCAGTGAGTGTTACTCTGGAATGACTTGCTTTGTCATTTTAAGTGTGATTTAGTGTCTCTGAAGGATTCTGCCATGATTTAAACTTTTTAAGACGGAGTCCTGAGTCATTTGTTCTCATGGAATCAACAGCTGCTCACCTAGATGAAATGACTGAATTCTTTCCAGGGTTTCAAGATATTATTCACAGCCAACTCTTGAATATTCAGAGGTTAATGATTCAGTCTGTGGATTTGGATCCATTTGTTTCTCCCTTGGCTGGTCACTTTCTCATGGATTTAGCACCACCAGAGGGTGGTCAGGGGCAGAAAGAAAGTAATGAAAATCACTTTCTTACTTGTAAGCAGTTCTCCAAGTATGGTGGAGGAGGAAGTTAACACAAATGGGTAAAATGAGATATCTAGATGGCAAATCAATTTAAATTATCCAAACTGCATGGGATTTCACAACAAATAATTGAGAGTTGGATATAAATTACCTTTGGGCCACTTTATGGTATTAACAACAAAAAAATTCACCTTACTATGCAAGTAATTTACTTGCAGATAATGTTAAAGCTCAAAGAGATCTTAGTGATAATCTAATCTAAAAAATTTTCATTTTACAGATGAGTATTACTTGGTAGAAGATCAATTACCACTTGCATAAACAAAAAAAAGAAAGAATACTTTTTTGGAGTACTGTAACAGAAGACATGATAATTTCCAGAGCGCTTAACAGGTAAAAGAGGTAGTATAATGAAGTCAAGAAGAGATGGCTTCAAGTCCCATCTCTGACACAAGGTGGCTGTGTGACTCTGGGAAAGTTATTTAACCTCTGAGTGCTCCTGGTTATCCATGTAAAATTCAAATAGAAAAGGACCCCTGTGGTTACATATTGACTTAGAAAACCTCAAATTAGCATTACCTATATTGTACTACATTTTTATTTATTTGGTTAAGCATTCCTCAATCACATTTTAATGTGGTTTAGACAATTACAATTTAATGTGGTTCAGGTCTACTCTACTCTTTGAGTTTTGCTGGTGAGTTTGACACCTCTGTGGGACAGTTAGGTGGAAAAGTAGATAGAATGCCAGGCCCGAAGTCATAAAGACTCAGATTCCTGAGTTCAAATCCAGCCTCAGACACTTATTAGCTATGTGACCCTGGGCAAGTCACTTAACCCCATTTGCCTCAGTTTTCTCATTTGTAAAACGAATTGGAGAAGAAAATGGCAAGCCACTCCAGGATCTTTGTCAAGAAAACCCGAAATGAGGTCAAGAAGAGTTGGACACAACTGAAATGACTGAACAACAACACTGACATCTCTGCTCCAGGCGATCATTTAAGATTATAAATTTCTGTACGGTTGATAATTTGTTTTGGTGGAGAGGGTTTCCTCAGCAGGAGTTTCCTATACCAATCAAATCGCAAGTCCAGCCTTCCCAGTCTCCCCCTCCCTCCACCCCCAGTTAAAGTGGAAAGAGATTCCGTTTTAATCAAATTACAGAGTCAAATTTTAAGCTTTTGGTGTTACTAATACTGACATGCCTCTCACTAACTCTCATTCATTAGAGATGGAAGTAATAGTAACTGACAAATTTGGGATGGTTTTGTATTGAAGTCTACTGCCATGATTTTTCCATTGCTAATTAACATAAATTATTGGAACATTATAAGTTTTAAAGATGAGGCCAATTCATAAGATAGGGTTACATAAATTTCAGAAAAGGATTAGTTGATTATTTTATGGAGCATACAATTTATGTTCACCTCAAACACAGTTACTCCTTTAAAACTAATTGACTCAACTATAGGCAACAAAAATGCCTGTGGTTCAATTTGTGGTTTAGTAATGATAATAGTAAAATTATATTTTTAATGCAAGCCTTCTTTAAAGAAGTGCTTAATTTATTTTCTTAGCACTTGAAACAATTACACTATAGTTTAATTAACTCCATTATAATTATTAGAAATACGCAAAAGATAAACTTTACAAGTTTTTTCTACATGAGTTTTCAGGACAGAAAATACAATTCCACCAGCAAATAAAACAATAGTTTAAACATAAGATGACAAATGTACATACCTCGTAAGCCTCCAGTAGTTAGTAGCGCTCGGGCTTTATCTGCCAAGTCACTATTTAAAGTACTCCCCAGCAGCAAAATATCAATGGCTTCTTGCTTGGAGCTGTCAAAGAAGTTATTCTGAATTGTTCTGGTTACAGAACGAGCACCATCTTTTAACTTTCCAGACTGTGGAGGAAAGAATATGTATGAATCCTAAGTAAAAAATCATTATTGTAACTCAAAAGGACAGTCTAAAACTTAGTTTAGTTATATGAGGATACTAATTAAAAGGTAAGTTTTTTGTTTTGAAAGTCTACCACTTATTTTCTAGTATTGTATTTTTTTTTTTTTTTTGGCTAGGCAATGGGGTTAAGTGACTTGCCCAGAGTCACACAGCTAATGCATGTTATGTGTCTGAGGCCAGATTTGAACTCAGGTCCTCCTGACTCCAGGGCCAGTGCTCTATCCACTGAGCCACCTAGCTGCCCCTTATCACTTATTTTCTAATCACAACGTTTCAACCTTTGTCATCTTTCTATTAAGATGAATTTGAAGATGATAAAAATTCAGTACAACTTAAACATGAACAGTGCCAATATTGCACGTAATAATGGATTCTGTGCAGTACCAAATTTCCTCATGATAATGCAGCTAAAAAATGTACATGCTTTAAAAAATAAGAAGTTTAAAAGAAAAAGTCTCCTTGGTCCTGAAATTCAAGGATGTAAAGTATTTACAGACTCTTTCAAAACCATCATCTTTGGGCTAAAAAACAAAGAAATTAAAAAGATATTCTAATCTAGAGTAGGAATTCTTAACGTAAACATTCTCTACTACTTAACTCTAAAAAGATAGTTAGAAGTTGTTTACAGAAATATTTTATGTAATCTTCACTTAAATATTGTTATTTTGTTCCATAGGTAAACAGTGAAAGAGAAATAGCATCAAATCCTTGGAATCAGAAGACCTAGGTTCAAGTCCTCTCTCTGATACACACTAGCTGTGTGATCATGATCAAATCACTTAGCCTCTCAGTTAAGAGAGTCTCTCCCAGAAACCCTCTAAGATAATATAGAGATGACTTGCTAAATTAACCTAAATTGAAACAATTCATTAGTGGAGGTTGAGGTGGGAATAGGGGTAGGGAATATACATATTACTAGCCACCAAAGAATTTTTGAGCTAGAGGAGACTACAGGAATGACCTAGTCTCACTCTCTCATTGTTAGGAAACTTGGGCCTAACCAACATTCAGTTACTCGAACAAAGCCACACAGCTAATAGGCACAGTGGTATAAACAGGAGTAAAACTCAGATTTGCCAATTTGGGGCCAGCATTCTTACTACATCACTTTGCTATTTAAAAACATATACTGGGGCAGCTAGGTGGTGCAGTGGATAGAGCACAGGCCCTAAAGTCAGAAGGACTTGAGTTCAAATCCAGCCTCAAAGCAAACACTTGACACTGACTAGCTGTGTGACCCTGGGCAAGTCACTTAACCCCAACTGCCTAACCAAAAAAAAAATATACTAAACTACACATCAAGGAAGATGACTTTTTAACACAATCTTTAGTGAACAGTCATTAGTTACATAAAAGTGTATGTGTGTGATCAACTATGCTATTTGATTTAGTTTTGTCCTAAGGACATTTTGGTGGCTGGTCCCTGTATTTTAAAATCTTCAGAAAATTTCAATGTTCAATTTTAGCTTTTTTAAAGAGAGCACTTCTAAATATTAAGATGCATTTTTTTTAGATTAAAGAGTCAAAAGAATTTTTAAAAATCACATCACTGAATGAAGGCTGAAGTAAATGGACAAATACTCAATTTGGTTTATAAAAATAGAATTTCTATAATACATACAATGTGATTCAAAAAGACACTCACCATTGTCAGGCAGTTAATCGAAAGGAACCCAGAGAAAGCAAGAGAAAGAGCAGCTGAGATTAGATTTTAGGAAAATTAAGAAGAGTATGACTTATACATAAATATTACCACATATATATGTGTATGTATGTATGTATATGTATATTTTTATGGCTATCATGCTGCTGTCCAAAAGAAAATATGACAAAGATAAACATCCGTGAGTGATGGCACAGTATTTCAGGCAAACAGTATTTAAAATTAGAAGAGAGGATTTAAAAAAATAGTAAAGAAAGCACTTTAAAGCCGATATTGGAAGGCATACCTTGGGACAATTCAATTAAACTCAACTAACATTTATCAATTACCAACTACGTGCAAGGCTCTGGGAATACAAAACTACGGCATATTCATAGCCAAACGATTGTGAAGTATTGCTGATTCTCACCCTCTCATCCAATCCCCTCTCTCTACCTAGGCATCTACCATCCTATTTTAGTACTCTATCCCTTCTTGCCTACGCTATTACAACAGACTCCTAAGTGATCTTCTTATTTCTAGTCTTCCTAAACATGTGAAATTGTTTTTAGGAATGATTTTCCTAAAGCCCTATCCTAAAGGGGTTTATATTCTACCTAGTAGAAATGAAATTCTATGTAGTGTTGATCCCAAATTACAGTACAATATGTTATAGCAATAATAAATATATAAGAAAGTAGAGAGGGAAAGGGGAAAGGGAAATCTCAAAAGTTTTCTAAAAATATCTATGTAGGGACATACCACTAAGAACCAGATGAAACAGGAAAGGCTTTAGGGAGGTCACAACTGAAGGAAAATAAGGATTCTTATCATGGGGGATGGCTGGTCCAAAAGTAGAGGTAAGGTTGGTTACATGTTGAGTTCAAATAACAGCTGGGAATACAGTTTGGTTTGCATATCGATCACACTGAAGATGAGGCTAGGAAGTATGTGCATGCCAGACTATGCAGGTCTTAATTACCAGTTCAAGAAGTTTGCATTTTTTATAGAGGAAATAGGGAGCCACTGATGGTTTTTGAGCACAGTGACTGTCAAACCTTGTCTTTATGAAGACTATTTGGGTAGAGAAACAACTGAAGAAGGGAGAGATAGGAGATAGGGCGACTGAGAGGGAGACTAACAAGGAGGCCATGATAGTTCAAGGAGGGGCTGAATTAATGCCACGACTGTGAACAGAGATGTGATAAAAGATGCAACTGTTACCTAAACTGGGCTGGTTTCCCATTAAAGAAACAGGCCGCTGTTTTCGGAATTTTTTTTCTTTCTGATGGACGCGGGTTTCAATCACTGGTGTGGCTTCCCTATTAACTAAGGCATAAAAAACTTTAGCTTATGAGGAGGTGGTGCTCTCGAGGATTGTGAGAATTTCAACCTCCTTGTCTTTCTGATCTAGTATTGCCATGGTGATGAAGGGGAACCTCGTGAATCAGTGACTGTATCCTTTTTAATCTTGTAAGTAGATTTTAAATTGCATTTTTTGTAGTACCTAAGCCCAAATCATTGGCTCAGAGTGAGCTAAGTGTGGATACAACTCTTTGGTGTTAGTCAGCTGGACTGGATGCTAATGGTTGATGTTTGAGGTTCAAGTGTAGGGAGGGCAATGCTATGGCTCCAAAGCCAGATGGCTAGATATTGGGGGGAGGGGGATCTGGCACCCTGAGGATGTTACACTATTGGCTGCACATGGTGACTCCTCTCAATGGGAAAAAGAGGGGATCCTTACCCTGCAGATTAGCTAGATGGATGATTTAGGAGCATGATAAGGGGAATAAGGGTACTACAAAAGTCAATATTTCCTAAAAAATGATGAACAGGCTGACTTCAGAAAAACCTGGAAAGCCTTGTATGGTCTGATGCTAAGTGAAGTGAGCAGAACCAAGAGAATGTTGTACACAATAACAGCCATGTTGTGCGATGACTAATATTGATAAACTTAATTCTTCCCAGCAATACAAGGATCTAAGACATCTCCAAAGGCCTCGTGATGGAAAATGCTATCCAGATCCGAAGAAAGAACTATGGAATTTGAATGCAGAGCAAAGCATACTATTTGCTATTTTTTTTTCTCTTCTGTTGAGTTTTGTTTCCTCTTTCTGGTGGTTCCTCCTATTGGTTCTAATTTTTACTTACAATATCACTAATCTGAAAATATGTTTAATAAGAATGTATATATATATATATATATATATATAGCCTATATCAGATTATGCACCGTCTTGGGGAGGGTGGTGAGGGGGAAGGGGAAGAATAACTTTAAACTCAAAAACATATTTAAGTGATTGTTAATAAATCAAAATAAATTAATAAAAATTTAAAAAAGAATAAAAATAAGTCAATATTCCCAGGCTCTTGCTAATGCAAGCGGCTAGACTGATAGCTGATGAAAATGAAAATAAATTATTTCAGTACATTAAGCAACTAGAGACAGATGTGAACACTTGGTTGATTTACTTTTAGCCAGTTAAATCAGTTAGAGGTCCAGAATGAAAGTTATTCTTGTCTCTTTTTAGGTGGCTCACGGGGGGAGTTCAGCATACCTGATGCCATAAAGATGAAGAATTCATATATAACCTGTTCCCCAATGGGGGTCAGCAAGAGAGGGGGTTAAAGTACTAAAATAATAGGGTTTAGTGACCTGGAGCTATGTCCCTCCACCATAACCTCTCCATTCTACATGACCAATGTGTCACAAGCACAGATCCTGATTTGTAGTGTCAGGCTTTAGCTACAGACCTTCCCTACCAGTCTCCTACAACGGCCTGAACAGACTCACTTGTGACATTTGAAGGAGAGAATGGGACAGCCACTAGGACACCAGAAAAAAGCAGTGCTCTGGGGATGATGAAAGAAGGCATCCCTTTCCTCTGTGTTCCCTGCTGTGGTGGGCAGAAGGTGAGGAAACACTGTCAGCTAAGAAGCATTCCAGATCACCTTCACCATCCTTTCTCAGAAATGACTGAATTTTCCTTCATACTGCTAATTTAATGGGCAAAAGTCTCAAAGAGTCCCCATTTTCTAAGGCCCAGCGTTGGGGTAACTAGGTGCTCAATACAGTCAAAATTCAATATGAGGCAGCTACATGACAATGGATAGAACTCTGGGCCTGGAGTCAGGAAGAGCTGAGTTCAAATCCAGCCTCAGACACTTATTAGATATGTGACCCTGGGCAAGTCACTTAATTTCTCTGTAATCTCAGTTTCCTCATCCATAAAATGGGGATAAAAAAATTGCACCTATCTCTCAGGGTTGTAGTGACAATAAAATGAGATGATAATTGTAAAGTATTTAGTACAGTGCCAGGCACATAGTAGGCACTTAATGCTTGTTCTCTTCCTTTTTCCCCTCTGATGTCCATCACTACACTAATATAATATTGGCTTGGCTGAACAAAGACATGGTGGTAGAGACATTAGATCAGATGGTGATCTTCTCTATTTCTGTAGAAGAAGCCACCATCCTTCTAATTACTCAGATTCACCTCAGAATCATTTGTAACTCTTCCTATTCCCTAACCTCTCCATAGTCAATCAATTGTGAAGTCTTGTTGATTCTTACCCTCTCATCCAATCCCTTCTCTCCACCTAGACGTCTACCATCCTATTGTAGTAGTCTATCCCTTATTGCCTAGACAATTACAATAGACTCTTAAGATCTTATTTCCAGTCCCTCAAATACATGTGAAATTGTCCTTAGGACTGATATTCCTAAAGTATAAGTCTTAGCATGTCACTCCCCTGACAAAAAAGTGGCTCCCTGTTGCCTCAGGGATAAAACACGCTTAAAGGCCTTCACAGCCCATCTCTCCAGACTGATTACACATGACTCTCCCTCATGCCCTCCACATCACAGTCAAACTGGCCTACTTGTTGCTTCCCATACAAGACATTCTATTTCTTACCTACATGGCTTACCACAAGGTTGCCCCAATACCTGGAATTCTTTTTCCTTTTCCTCTATTTCTTAGAATTATCACTAGGTCTCTTCAAAGCTCAGCTCCAGTGTAGCTTCCTGATGGTACCCCCTTCTAGTTATTAGTATACCTCATACCACATACACACCCAAAATTATTTTGCATTTACTTCACATATATTTATACATACATATACATGATATATCATACAGTATTCATCTATATTTGTACCTGATGCTGTTCCTAGTAGAATAAAAAGCTCTTTGAATGTGAATATTGCTTGATTTTTACTCTCAGTGCATAGCACACAATAGGTATCTAAATGCTTGTTGAGCTAAAATTGGATTTGTCAGCATTGAAAATGGAAAGTTACTATATAGAATGCACTTAAATATCATTTGTTTTGCTCTTTTTACCTTAGCCTTGCCTTCCAAAGCTCCAGTGCCTGCGTAAATTTTGCTGATTGAGTCACCATTCACAGACCACATTGACCGGAAAACTTCTTGGAAACGAGTCACCAACTGAGGCTTTTCAGCTAACCCCAAAGCTTCCAGTTGTTTGGCTAGCATCTGAAACAGAAAAGTAGAAATTTTACAGAAAAAAAAAGATTTTATATTACAATCTGATAGTTTCAAATACTACCTCTAAAGTGAAAAAGAAACAGCCTCCTGACTTATTTATAGGAAAAGTACTTATGCCAATGATGTTTAGATCTATTTCTCCAGCCCCTTCCCAATCTTCAGTCTTACACCTCCAATAGCCAAGATGGGCATCTTGAACTGGAGATTCCACAGATACCTTAAAACTCAACATGCCCCAAAGTGGGCTCATGTCTTTCCCCACAAACCCTCTTCTCTTCCTAACTCTCCTATAACTATCCAATGATGCCCCTATCCTCCTGGGTCACCAGGCTTAGTCTAGGTGTCATTCTCAACTCTTCACTCCCTCTCACCCCTCCTCCCCCATCCAATCTGTGGCTAAGTTTCACTGATTCATAACATCGTTTGTACAGGCCCCTTTCTCTCCTCTGACACTGCCACAACCCTAGAGAAGGCCTTCATCACCTCTCACCTCAACTACTGCAACAGTCTGCAGGTTGGTTTCTCTGCATCACGTCTCTTCCTACTCCAATCCATCTTTCACCCAACTAACAAAGCGATCTTCCTAAGGCACAGGTCTAACCATGTCAATACCCCATGTCTATAAACTTCAATGGCTCTCTATTGCCTTCTGGATCAAATATAAAATCCTGTTTGGCTTTTAAAGCCTTTCATAACCTGGCCCCTTCCTACCCATCTCACCTTCTAACATCTTACTCCTTTCTACAAACTGTAGTCTAATAACACTAGACTCCTTTTTTGTTTCTTGAATAAGACACTCCATCTCTGTCAGTCAATAAATATTTATTCAGCAGCTACTATGCGCCAGGCAGGATGCTAAGAACTGGGGATACAAAGAAAGTCCCTATCCCTTAGGGAGCTCACAAGCTAATGTGGAGTCAATATGCAAACAATTATCTACAAAAAAAGATATACATGTGATAAATATGAAATAATCAATAGAGGGAAGATACTAAAATAACCATATTTCACCATATAATTGTTCCAGATTTATACCAAATGAATGCAAAATGGAGGTGTGACCATTATGCAATGCTTTTAAAAATCGTGCTGGTATTATTTGTCTTTTAGTTTCCACCAATCTCACACCAACTTCTCACTCACTGAAAATTATCTTTCTGCATCTGTTTCCTTGTTGTTCAGTGAACACAATCACTTTCAGCTTGAAGCCCACAGAATGGTTTTTATATTTACCCACAATCAGAAAGAAATGCCTTTTTTTTTTTTAAAGAAATGCTTTGTATGTATCCTTATGTATGTATGTATGTATGCTTAATGTATCCCTGGCAGACCAACTGTACAGTTGAAGATACAAGTCTTAAGTCTCACCATATCATGAGACTTACTCATGGAAGCCCCACCTGCCCAACAGCTCCCCTTGAACTTGGGCTCTTTAATGGGTTGAGTGACAATACTGTTAGTACAGCAGCACTCTAAACAAACCATGCAAGTCAGCTTTCAGAAATATATTGACAATGTGTGCACACTGAGAATTCTAGTCTCGAGGCTTGCAAAGTGGGAGAGATAAATGCGTATCCATATGCCACTGGTGAATACATTACTGTTCTGTTTACCTTTTGAGCACAATGATGAACAGAATTATACCATGCGAAAATTACTCCATGAAAGACTAAAAACCATTTTGGCCTAAAAACAGGGCTTGACGACTAGTTGGTGAAATATAGTAAGAGGAACTGAAAAAGACTTTCTGTAGAAAGGAAAGATTTTAGCTGGGACTCAAAGGAAACCAAGGAAACTAAGGCAGAGATGAGGAGTGAGAGCACCCAACTCCAAAGGAAGAGCCCAGAATGCTGGGAGGTGCAGGGTTGAGTCAGAGGAAGAGCAAATAAGTGGCTAGGGACTGGAGGTCAAGGAGTAGATAAAGAAAAGGGTTTGGAGTTAGAAGCCAGCAGGGGAGGTAGAATAACAACAGCCTGTGATCAGATAAGGGAAAGTGGGAGTTTTAGAAGGGAGGAGGCTGTTAAATCACTAAAAGAAAACTTTAGGAAGATTATCCAAGTCCACAGTATAATGACCTCAGGATAGGGTCCTTTCAGAGCCTTGGGCAGTTTAGGTGAGGAAGCAAGAAAGAGAAACAGAAGCGAAGACACTCAACCCAAAGCAGGAGCCCAGGCTAGAAACTTGATGGAATGGTGCTCTGTCCCCTCCCCTCTCCTCAGTGGAGCGAGGCTAGTAGGATGGGAAGGTGCTCCTTCTCTTCCCATAGGAGGCTGAAGCCCAGGCAGGAGACATATGGCGTTAAAATGTAATTGCCAGAATGGAGCTTTCTCCTCACCATAGGGGCAGAAGACTGGAACGTTCTTCTCTTCCAAGGGAGGCTAGAGAGTAGGTAGACGACAGCAGAGGACGGTGAGATACTCTCCTTTTTCCTCCAAAGGATGGAGATCAGGCAGGAGATGCTCACAGCTTGATGTTAGGTTACCCTCCTCGACTTTTTCCATGCCCCCTGGAGGACACCAGGCAGGCCGAACTGAGTGGCAAGGTGCCTTCTCCTCTTCCTTCCAGAGCAGTGGTGTCAAACTCAAATAGTAAGGAATCCCTGCAGGTGTATATCGACTCACAAAATCACAAATTAACATTAGGTTGTATTGTGTTTTTATTTATTTTGTTAAACACATTTGCCAATTGCATTTTAATCTGGTTCCAGCTTATTTGGGCCTTTTGCTGCCAGCAGTGAGTTTGATACTCCTGTCACAGGGAGACTTAGCAGGACAACCCGGGTAAGTCCCTGATCCCTCCTCTTCCCACACTCCACTGGAGGCTCCACGTACATTTTCACCGACTGTATCTCATTTATTCAGCATTCTTTAGTATCTTCCCATCCTACTCTGAAATGTAGGTATTATGGCTAATTTTAAGAAAGTTGTTTATTGAAGATAAACATTCAGACCACGTTGAGGGCATTGTTCCTAGTTTGGTTTTTTTTTGTCAGAAGCTCTGGAAGGGCCTAGAGACTAGAGAATGGAAAAAAAGAAAGAGTGAATGTGGCCATGAAGTCTCTAAGCACAATGAAAGAAAGGGTTATGACCTCTGGGCTTAACACAGTACCTGGCACACAGTAGGCACTTAATAAATGTTTGCTGATTGTTAACCGACTAGCTGGGAATCTTGGTACAGAAGAGAGAATGGCAATAGCAATCAGTTTGGAGATTTGCTAAGAAATCCCAAACTTTTGCTTGGGGACCCCTAATTTAAGTCCATTTGAAACCTACAGAATATTAAAAGATCTAGAGGAAGAATGCCAGCAAGTAGATCCTCCAGGTAAGATCTACGGAAGAACAAGAAACACTCCAAATGAAAATCATAGGCTAAACTGCAAGGCTTAGAGAAGAACAAAGACCAACTGAATGAAGTGTGAACAAACTTGAATAAGATCCTATTGTAATGTAAATGTTAACTGCTCAAAGATAAATAAGCAAAATAAAACCATTTACTACAAGGCTTCAGTTGACCTAACACTCCTTTTCAAAGACTGAGAAAGCAGACTGACACAAAGTGAAAGCCCTACATTTCTAGCCATTCAGAGATGAATAAGTAAATCTGAAAATTCTGTTCAACAATTATTAAACACCTATTATAAGCAAGGAAGGATCTGCAAGGCAAAACCAAAACCAATTCCCACCTTTAAAGAGCTTACGTCCAACAAGGGTGATAGAAAATGTAAACAGATAATTAAATGTAGGATAATTGGAGGGCGAAAGCCCTTAAAACTAGGGGACAAGCCTATAAAACTAGGGGGCAATAAGAAAAGGCTTCCCACAGGAGATGGCACAAGAGCTAAGCCTAAAAGGAAGCAAGGCACTCTAAAAGCTGAAGGAGAGAAAATGCGGAATTGGGGAAGAGCAAACAGGCCAGTTTGGCTAGAGGTTACAATAGAATGGGAAGGCGAACGGAGTAAATAGCCTTGGAGAGGCAGCTGCCAGACTGTGAAGGGTTTTAGATGCCAAGCTAAAGAATCTGAATCTGATCTCAGAAGCAAGAGGGAACCACTGGAGAGCTTCTTGAGCGGGACAGTGCTATGGACATGGTTGTGCTGTAAGATTATTTGGAAGCTCTGCTGAGGACGGATTGAAGATGGAAAAAAAAGTTGGAAGTCTAATTATGAGGCTCTTTTGATAGAATGGGTCTGAGGTGATGAGCAAAGGGATGTGTCCTGAACTATGGATGTGAAAGAAATTATGGGGGGTAGATTCAATGAGACTAGGCAAATGTCTGGATGTGGGGGATAAGGGAGAGACTTGGATGTCTTGAGATGGTAAAGCTGGGTGACTATCAGTTAAGCAACAAGGAACAAGTATTTAGGAGTACTTACTATTGTGTCAAGTACCCAAGAAGCTCACATCCTAATGGAAGAATAAATGAAGCAATTTTTTAAGCATTTACTGTGTACAAAACGCTGGGCTAAGTGCTTGGAGATACAAATTGAAAAGAAAGACAGTTTCTGCTCTCAAGGAGCTCACATTCTAATGGAGGAGACAAAAGATAGGGAAGGTTTCAGCTGCAGGTCAGACTGAAAAGTCCCATGATGCTTAGAGTTCAGCAGCTAAGTAGATGTTAATACCTCTTGCTTAGTATCATTTCCATTGATAAAATAATGTCAGTTTCTGATGTTGAACCATTTGACAATGCCATAATTTTTTTTTTCTCAGCCTTTAGTAGCTGTGGTTGTAGTACCTGCAAGAGCAATTGCCAGGCTGCATCACCACAGGTCTGATATTTCAGGATGATGGCTGAGGAAAACAAGCTTAGAAGCACTGTTATTTCAAAGACTTTTGGGTTGAGGGTTCTGGGTTGCCTCCATCAGGGTATGAGGGGAGATGGTGGTCAAGGTGGTGGCAGTGGTTTGACTTGTCTGGCACATGGTTCCTCAGGTGACATGTTGCTTCAGCTAGGCTGGCTTGCCTGTCCTATGGATGGCACTTGGTAGAGAAGGCTGGACCCTTCTCCACAACAGATGATGGCTGTGAGGGCAGGGCTGGAGAAGGAATGACAGAGGAGGAATGCTGCCACCCCCAAGGCTCTGGTGCCTATCTGTCTTTTGGTGGCAGCTGGTCAGCAGCTGTACCTCATGGTGATGAGGAAGATGAGCTCCCTCTCCACAATGACTTTTCCCTTAGATGATGGTTGTGCGGTTAGACTTGAAGTAAGTCTAGTGTTTGGGGGGAGGGGGGAGACACAACACTGCTATTCCCAAGGCTCTTTGGTTCAGGGTCCTGGGCTGTCCACCATGGTCTGAGAGCAGATGGTAGTCAAGGTGGTGGTGGACTGACTTGCCTGGCACATCCTGTCTTTCCTTCAGGGTGCCTTGTTGCTTTAGCTAGGCTGTCCTGGCTGTCCTGTGAGTGGCAGCTGGTGAGGATGGCCACAGCACAAGACACTTAATAGCCACTGTCATAGTGTTTTCACAGATTTTCAATGCTAGGTTTAGATCTGTTCATAAGAAAATGGATCCTCTCCCAATTCCCAGGACAAATGTATTAAAGGTAATAGTGAGAGTACAAGAAAAATAATGTTTTTCAAAAGAATGTCAAAATAAATAATCAATGAAACTGTTAAGGATATTATAAGAAAATGGAGGCAGGAAAGGAACTATCTAGGTGAAAGTACTAAAAAAAAAAAAGCACTTGATTAGAAATCAGTTGGTAGAGATGGCTGGACCCTTTTTCGCTAAGGGCTATTTCCTCAGATAATGTCTGTGAGAGTTGGGTTGTAAACAGGAAAGACAGGCAAATCCCCATTCTGTGGGGACCCTGGAAAAATCACAACCTTTGGTCTCGACAACAAAAGTGAAGGAGTTGCACTAGGTTATTTCTAAGGCTCCTCCCAACTTTAAACCTATGATCTTATGATACATTAAATTTTAAGTAATTTTGTATAAAATACTATTACAGTCATCCCTCAACATTCCTGGGTTTCACATTTCCCAGTTTTGGTTACTCACAGGTTGGTCATCGATAGTTAAATGGGAATTTTTGGAGATTTGCAGTGTACTGCAGAAAATCGCGATGACATGTCTATGCAAAGAAAACTAATTTTTTTTACTAAATCATAAATGCATAAATATTATATATTATTAATCTATTTTATCATTTACTACCATAAGTATACATATACAAATTAATTATAAACAGTTAAATTTTGTTAAAAGTTTCAGTGCACTAAAGAACTACAGGATCCCCACTCTGTCTCTCTACCATCCAAACTCAAGTTACGTGACTTTTCTCTTGAAGTGATTGTTCTGTCTTGACAGGAAAAGGAAATTTGTGAAGCAGTTGTTGCAGCTACACCAGTAGCTCTGAAGACTCTACATAGCATGTGAGATACTAATCTCTCTTCCACATTAATTGCAACTATTTTGTGGGTGCAGTGTGTAGTTTTGTTTTGTGTGTTAAATATGATCAGAATTATTAAAAATGAAGGTTTGAGGTGGGGTCTAGAGTTATTTGCAGTTTTTCATATTTACAAGGGTCCTACATCCCTAACACCCCCTCCCCTTCATGTTGAGGGACAAATGTATATATTTTTAGCAGCACATTTTAAAGATATACTTCATGAATGGATCACAGAATGTTAGAACTAAAAGGGACCTTAAAGATCATCTGTTATAACCTCTTAATTTTATAGATAAGGAAGTCAAAACAGAGAAATGGTGACTGACTGGAGGTTACATAACCAGTAACACAGTCAAGCCTAGCACTTTTTTTTTAAACTCATTTCACTACACCATAGCTTGTATATTAAATATCTGAACAGGAATATAATTCAGTGTTAACATCAATGGAGGGCAGCTAGGTGGTACAGCGGATAGAGCACCAGCCCTGGATTCAGAGGGACCTGAGTTCAAATCCAGCCTCAGACACATACCACTTACTAGCTTTGTGACCCTGGGCAAGTCACTTAACCCCATTGCCTAACACCCCCCCCCCAAAAAAAACCCATCAACGGAAAGTTATATGATTACAAACTCAGGATACCAGTGTTTTAAGGTTTTCTTACCTCTAAGCCAAAGAAAGCTTGCACACTGTTTGTCCTATCCAGACAATCCAAGCAGTTTGTTCGAATAGTACCATTCTGAGATCTGTATCATATTAAGTGAAATAATACAAATCAATAAAATTCATCAACACAAACAAGGCAAAGGTTAGATGAAAATCAAAGCAATCTAATTGACAGCATTATCATTATATGCTCTTCTTTAAAGGTTTGTGGATCACATTAATTTTGGGATAGCTAAAAAAGGCATTTGTTTGGGAATGGCTAAACAAAAATTCTGTTAAATGAATTTAATGGAAAATCATTGTGTCATAAGAAACCTCAAATATAAAGAATTGAGAGAATGGGGAGATCTGTATGAACTTAAGAACGAAGTAAGTAGAACGAGGAATTTGTACAATGACAACAATTTAAACAAAGAAACTGAACGCACTGTAATTGCAATGACCAATCTTGGCCATTGTTGGTGAGAAAAATGGGGGGTGGGTAGGGGATTATGGACATGATTAAATATTAAACAGGTTGTCAGACATAGTTGATTTATCAGTTGGTCAAGTCTAACTGGCTCTAAAAAATTTTCACAAAGGTAAGTTCTCTAGGATGAGGAAGGAAGGGATACAATCAGAAATGACCAATATGGAAATTTAAAGTTATCAATAAAAATTTAAAAATAAAAGACAAAAAAGTGAGTTGTAGCTAGACAGTTATACTAAAATTAGAGATTTGGCATTAACACTGAGGAAAAATTATCTTCTGCCATTTCACAGCAAGTTTTTCTTTTATAATACTCCCTACTTTGTTCAACTTAGATAATACATACACAAAAATACTTATATATACTCATATTTCATGTAAGGAAGTTTTCAAAATTCTAGCTATGCCTGAACAATTTCCAGGCCACTGATACAAAATAAAATTTAAACAGAATCAGAATATCATTTTAAAATACTGAGACTCATCCACAACAGTCTCAGTTTGGAAACATGATTACCAATAAATTTTACTTTGAACTTAATGTCTCATAGCACTTTCCCTTTTTATTTCCAAAGCTAAAATGATTAAATTAAAAACTGACATCAAGGCAACAGTTTATTTTCATAGGCATCTGGCAAAAGTTCCTCAGATATAATGGATATATTACTAATATTTTGCTCACAAGTGCTTCCTAAACTGATGGAAATCACAGTCCAGTAAAAAAAAACAAAAAACAAAACCTAACTAATTGAATATTTCTATCTTAACTTCTCACTTTGATATATTTTACTTAATGGCAAAAATTGTGTGTGTGGTGGAGAAGGAGACTAAAACAGACCTAATTCCAACGCTGATCAGCTAAAGACCATTTTACCTTGTCTTTTCCCTTGATACTGAGCTACCTATGCAACAGGAAGTCCTATGCTACATAAATCTGACCATTACTATTTAAAATACAAGGTTTGGTTTTTTTTTTTAAAGAAAGGAGCAAACTAAATCTGATTTTTATAAACTACACAATATAAGCGACCAAAGTAATTAAAATAATAAAACTGAGTTAATTCATAAGAATAAGTTTTACTTCATAGAATCTAAGATGGGATAATTGCAACTCACATCGAGGATATTCAAACTGCCATACAATGAAAGGGGTGGGGTGGGGTGATAGTGGAGAGAGAGGACATATGTCTCTTTCTAAAGAAACAGTAGTTAATACTTTCTATCAAATAGAAAAGCTCAGAATTGGGATATTATTAGGTTGAATGAGTATATCACCATAATATTTCACCAATGATAAAAACAAAATTATTTTAGATCATAAGAGGAAAAAATAGTTCAACCTTTTCTCATTAAAGATCTTCCCTAAGTATATCTTAGAAAATGATGATTTTAGCAAAAAAAAATCATTGAAACTTCAGTTTTGTACATCCAGATAAGGAAAACATCCTTAGCTTAACTTAAAAATTTTTTTGAAAGCAATGGAAGCACAACTTTGTATTTCTAATGAAAATGGGAATGAACACAGAACTGAATAAAACATCAGTTAACATAAGTGAAATGTTTGTTGCAAATATTTGTTCTTTTTTTTTTTTTTGGCAAGGCAATGAGGGTTAAGTGAGTTGCCCAGGGTCACACAGCTAGCGAGTGTTATGTGTCTGAGGCCACATTTGAACTCAGGTCCTCCTGACTCCAGGGCCGGTACTCTATCCACTGCGCCACCTAACAGACCCCCAATTTTTTTTTTTAACTTTTAGGCAATTGGGGTTAAGTGACTTGCCCACAGTCACACAGTTAGTAAATGTCAAGTGTTTGGTCTGAGGCCGGATTTGAACTCAGGTCCTCGACTTCAGGGCCAGTGTTCTATCCACTGCACCAGAAAATATTTATTCTAATAAAAATTTTAACAGCAGTTAAAAATTATAATTTAATTCTAATTTAAAGAATACAGAAATAAATTAATCAAACCTTTGAACTTCAATTCCATTGAAATAAAAAAACCCAGAGTCTAAGAATTTTTGGACTTGAGGCTTAAGTACACTATGTAATTTCTCTACTTTTCCTCCTTTAACCATTTGATGATAGTCAAAATTGATCATTTGGATATCAACAGCATGTTCAGAAGCTTTCAAGTGACTCTGAAAAAAAGAGGAAATACGCTATTAAAATATGAACTCATAAACAAAGATTCAATCAAATACTGAGAGATTACTTTTATATTGCTATAAAGCTAGCCTATCTCTTTAAAGTCCAATCAGTACCTATCTTCAAACCATTCTAATTTTATAGTAGTCAAAATATCAATATACTGATGGTAAACTGAAAAATTATCTGTTAATCTGGTGTCTAACTATAACTATTCATGTGGTCTCCAATGCCTTCAGTGATGATGTAATTAATATCACAGAACCCAACATGCCATTTTTGCCAGGATCAATAGAAGAGGAACTGATTTAAACCATCAGTACTCCAATTTGTTCAGAAAGTTTAATAACTAGATATACCTAAAGGTAGATATAAGAATCAAATGGTTCCCCTCTAAGAAGTAAAAAGCCTTCCAGCTGAATAAATGAGTACAAATTAATACTGCTTCATTCATATACTCTGAAATACTCAAATGAGTCTGTGATCTCATTGACTCAGAAGGTTCCCTCCAACTACAAACATGACAACCTATCCAAGCCTGCTGATCTCGTGGGACTCTTGCTGTGTTCTCCCAACTTCAACAGTGGGGATCCACCCAACATACTGAAGGCCTTTCTTGTTTTCTCCTTACATGGCAAGGATATTATTAGCGGAGCACTCTGGATGTCTTACTGTTGTTATCTCCCATTTTTGTCACATGGCAAGCCCATTTCTCTTCCTAACATAATCCCTATATTATACAATTCCTTGATGATGTCCTTTATGCTTTTTATTTGGGGCTCATTGGTTATATATTGCAGCCTGCTCACACCCACCAAGTGTCTCTCCACTGCCCTCTGTGTGATACTTCTAGATCTTCAGAATCAGGGATATTCACTAATTCACTGCCATAGAGCAATACTGGTAAAATATTACTATTGAAAGACAGCCCTTTGATTTTATGGGAAGCTAGGAGTCAGTAAGACAGCCCTATAATTTCCTGAAAATAATCCAGTCCATATTCTTCTTCCTGTTCAACTCTGCCCAGCTCTTTGTCATCTGTACTGTTTTAGATGTACATATTGTCAGAGAAGTTTCATCCAAATGGAGTGTTAAAATCTGGACGATAACATTCTTCATCCTCTTGGTCTTTCCTGACTGGACAAAGGCCAAACTCCATTTAATGATTAAATCTCTCTCCAAGGGAGACTCTGCAATATTCACTGAATAATAAAAAAAAAATCATAGATCTAGAGCTGGAAGGGACCCCTGAGACCGTCAAAGTACAGGCCTTCATTTTACAAATGAGGAAACTAAGACTTAGAGAGGTGAAATGATTTGACCAAGATCACAGTGAGCCGTAAGAGTGGGATTGGAAACAAGGTCTTCTGACTCCAGAGCCTCTCTTCATTGAATAACACTGCACGGCAAGGACTTCACCACCTCTGGCCCGGAGAAAGTCCATCACAGTGCAAATCCATGTGTTGGGTATGCATCGTCCTTAACTTTGCCTGATATTTATTAAAGGATCACTGAAGATAGTTATTTCTGCTAAATCTTCCAGAGAATCCTGAATGATCTTGATGAAGAGACATGAGACTTTTTTTTTTTGTAAAAGAGATTTTAAATTGTTTTGTTCTACCACATCAAGTGCTTTTCTTTGTAATCAAAAATAGGCACAATAAGATCTTATACTCCATACATCTTTCAATTAATTGCATAACAGTAAAGATGTAGTCTATTGTTGACTATTGCTGTGGAAAGATTTCATGTTCCCTACTCATACTCTCCAGGAATATTTGTATAGATGGATGAGCTACTGATCTCTTGGCCACTTTTTCAGGTATTAATGAAGTGTGAGATTTTTTTCCATGTCTTTGGTATCTTTCTATCCTTTAGATATCTTGTATATCAGTCACTCAATATTCTTGCAATTGTACTACTTCCAATGTGGACCTTTCTTTATATCGATACTTGGTCCAATCTGGACAGTTTTTCCATCTTTGTGCTCTTTAGTGCTATCTGGCCCATTTATAAGCATCTTAGGACTGTGATGTCAGGATCCAGGAATAGTGGTTTGACTATCCTTGACAAAGAAAAGCTTGTTCAAGTGTTTTTTGCAAATCTTTTCCATTTTTCTTACGTTTGTAATCCTTCTTCCATCACAAGACTTGGATGCCCTTGGGATAATTTTACTTAGATATCTTACTAAGCTTTTAAACTGGTTTCACCCTCTATTACCTCTTTCTACTTTATGAGATATTCATAATTATCCATCATCCTTCTCCATAAAATTTTACAAATGAGTTTATATTTTAACCTAGTATTACCTTTTGCAGCCATTTGTCTTCATTTAGTAAGTAAATCAGATATTTGCATACTACGGTGCTTTCTGGGCTCTTGGTTTCCACTTAATTTACATAGTTACTTTTAGGTGAAATTATTACAGTCTGTGTCAATGTTATTTCTGTTTTCCATTTAAATGATTAAAGTTAAAAATTCCTCTAAGTTATGTAAAATACTTTGAAATCTTTATTCTTGTTCATTCAATGCTGATTTCTTACATTTAATTTCCTCCTCATTTCTTAACTTGTTGCAATATTTTCTATTCTGACTTTCCAACTATGCCTCGGGAAGTTCATTTGAAGGAAAATCTCATTACCCAAGATTCCATCATCCTTGATGGAACTTTACCACCACCCCTCTGTCCTTCTGATTGGAGGGTGAAGCCATGAACTTCAAAATTTCCATTGAAATTGGGAGCTCGACTCAGAGTATCTCCTCATTTCTTTTCTTTTTTTTTTTTTTTTAAGGCAATCGGGGTTAAGTGACTTGCCCAGGGTCATGCAGCTAAGAAGTGTTTGAGGCCAAATCTGAACTTAGGTCCTCCTGACTTCAGGGTCGGTGCTCTATCCAGTGCATCACCTAGCTGCCCCTCCCCCGTTTTCTTACATGGTTGCAATACTCTGGGACTTCCACCATCACCCTACATCTGGTACACTACACTTTTTAGCTTCCTTTTGTGTATTATCTTCCCATTAGGTTGCAAGCTCCTTGAGGGCAGAGACTATCAATATTCTTTTTTATATTTGTGTCCCTGGTGATTACGACAGTGACTAGCACATAGTAGGTGTTTGATAAATATTAATTAATACAGAAATAGCAAAATAATTTCATCTTCTAATCATTAGATAAAACTGCATTTTAGGGAATATTTTCTAATTTTTCATTATTCATTATCCCATTATCCCAATATCCATTATTTATTTCTCTTCTTTAAAATGGCAAAGCAATTTTTTTTCTTTTTGTCATGTTAGCTAAAAACATTCTTAAGGAGTTGGTTCTGCTTGCTTTTATTTTAGTTATTTTTATTTGAAATTCTAGTGCTTTCTCTGGTTTCAAGATATAGTGAGATTTTAAATGATTTCCAGTATGTTTTCCCCCTAGGTACACAAAGGTATCATCAAGTTCATGATTTCTGATATTTGCTGCTATTCTACAATTGTGATTTTTACATTACAACTGTAATTCAAGTTCATAATTCATCTGTTTGCTAACCACTGTTAATATGACAGTGATTCTGACACTGCTATTTATCCATTCTAATTATTTTCCCAGAGGGATTAATTAGTATCCAACAAAGCTGAACCTTGTTTTGTTATTTCTTTCAATTAGTTCTAATCCACTTTATATTATTTCTTTTCTTTTGCTCACATACCTAAAAGTTGCTATGAGAATATATCCAGAATCAATATTTGGAAGTTTAGCTGACTAAATCTGGATAAAGTTATCTAATCCCATTCCTAATAATTGAGATGCAAAGAAAAACAAAGGACCTCTGGAATTATTTTGAGGTACTATTCAGAGGATTTGTTTCTGTTTCCACAAAATGGAAAAGCCAAATACTGTGGTTGCTAAGAAGGAGGTAGGAAAGTGAAAACAAATGGAAAAGGAAATGACTAATTCCACTGGTAGGGGATTAAATTTCCCTACCTTTACTCTTTTAACCTTTTGATGACAGCCTAAGTTCATTATATGGATATCAGAATCACAAAATGTTAAAAGATCTAGAGCAAAGTATCCAGCTCATTGGGCATATCTTCTTTGGAGAATTTATGGAAGGCCCTATACTAGTTGCATTAAGTATGAATGTGTGATGTACCTATATATATGAGTTCATTGTCCCAGTGAAGTGCTTAAGTAAGCAGAGTAAGGGGAACAGTACATTCTTTCATTTCTGTATAACCTATTTAGAACATAGTGAAGGGAGAAGAATTGAGGGAATCAGGGACAACTCTGACAATCTTCTTAAGTAAGATTTCTACCACTGTACTTTGAAAAACTCTTTGTGAAAATTAAAGGTCTACTGATAGCCCTACTTCACAGGATTGTTGGGAGGATAAAACAAAATGTATATAAAGAACTTCCTAAATCTTAAAGTGTTCTATATAAGTGCCTGTGATTATCATTAATACAGCTTCCAATACTTCTCTCAGGAAGTGACTTACATGCTTAAGCACCTAGTTATTTTATTTAATAATAGTTATTTAAATCTTCTTAGATTTTTAAGAACCAGAGAAGAGAAGAACTAATCATACATACCTGGAATGTTTTACTTAGCATATCCTCACCTTCCTTAGTCCCAAGTAAATTTACAATGATTTGTTTGCCATATAAATTTTTAAGTGTTCTAAAATGCCTATTGAAGAGACAAAGATAAAATCAGTATACTTAATACTATAAATTAATATAATGCTATAAATTCAATATATAGAAACCACAATCTATGTAAAACACTTATATGATAGTATGTCTAACTTATGGACCTCATAAATTTGGGTAAAAATAATTTCAAATTCATTTCTATTTGAATCTATAATCATTTATTATGTATAAAGCACCTGGAATACCAATGTTCTGAACAGTCAATAGAGTTTACATTCTCATGGGAGAGAAAAAGAAATCAAACATATACACAAACAAGTTAAGTACAAGACAGAATATGATAAGGTCAGAAAAGAGTGACAAGAAAATTTAGAGAGAAAGATATCACTTTCAGCTAGTGGCCAAGGAAAAGAGGAGAAGGCAATCAGGGAAGGCCTCAAAGAAGTGTGAGAACTTGGGTGGGGCACTGAAAGAAGGAAAGAATTCAAAGAGGCAGAAAAGTAGAAGAAATAGGGAAATATGAGAAAATAGTTCTCATTAATTCATGAGAGTAGAAGATTAGAATGATGAGGATGTGCCACATTCAAAGAGCCAATTTTGGATAACCAGGGAAATATCTAGCATGAAGCTAGAGATGAGGACCTAAAAATTAGGGGTTATTTCAGAAGCTGTGTAAAGGTTCAACTGGAGAGGAGAGAGAGATTATTATAATAGTTTATTATATTATTATAATATTATTGTATTAGTTTATTATTATAATATTGTTTTAGTATTATATTATTATAATAATTTAAATTATTATTATAATAGTTTAAAGAGATGTGTTGAGGGCTTAAAACATAGTAATGGCAGTGGCAGGAAAGAGACGGGCTTCCATTTAAGAAATAGTGTCATATGGAATTCACAAAAATGTTTTTGCCCATATAATTTCACATAGTCTGAAATTTGACACTCAAGGAACTCTTCAGTAACATAAGCAGGTAGCAAGGTGGGGAAAAGAGGCCATCCACTGTGAGCTCCTCTCCTTCCCAATTCTATACTGTAAATCATCTCTTTTGCTCTAGTCTTCAAGAGATGACCTTTCTCCTTCTAACATCAGACCCTCTCAAATAAAAGAATGTATGTATAACACTCTGCAAACTTTAAAGCACTATATAAATGCTAGCTATTATTACTGTTATTGTTTTGTAGCTTTGCCCCTGATCTCATCTCCTCTGGAAGGCTGCTCTTGCAAACCTCCCCTTTCTTCAGTTTAAACCTCTGTTTAGCCATTGACTCCCTGCCTGTTGCCATCAAATATACCCAGGTATCTCTAATCTTTAAAAAAAAATCTTCCCTTGACCTCATCATCCCTTCAGATTTCCATCTTATATTTTTTTTCTTATACCATCAAATTCTTTAAAAAAGCTTTATTTGTTGCCTCCATTTTCTCGCTTTCCACTCACTTTTCCCTTTGTAATTTGGCTTTATCACCATTACTATACTGAAATTACTATTTCCAATGTCAATGATCTTTTTAGTGATAAATCCAATAGCCTGTTCTCAGGCCTACCTATCTTGACCTGTCAGTAGTGTTTGACCCAACTGACCACCCCACCCCTTCTCCTTCTAGATACTCTTCTCCCTGGGTTTTCATGACAGCTCTGTCATGGCTTCCTTCCTACCTAGCTGATCAATCTCTCTCAGTCCGAAGGGTCATCATCCATTCCACTACCCTGATGCACTGGTACACCCCTAGGACTCTGTCCTAGGGCCTTTCTTTTTCTCTTTCTACACTCAATTTTCTTAATGATTTCACCAGCTCCCATAGATTCACCTTATCTTTTTGAAGATAAAAGAAATCACAGATTTAGAGCTAGAAATGGCCTCAGATATTATCTAGTTCTATCCTCTAATTTTACAAATGAGAAAACTGAAGCCAAGAGAAGTTAAGTGCCCAAAGTCACAAAGGTTAAGAAAGTGGAAGAAACAGAATTTGATTCCAGGTTTTCTAATTCCAATTCCAATGCTTTTTTCCATTTTGTCATGTTATCTTCTCTACTTCCCCACTTCCTGCCCCTACTTTGATCCATCCTCTACACAGCTGCCAAACTGATTTACCTAAAGAACAAGTCTGGCCGTGTCAGCCCACTCCTCACGAAGCTTCAGTGGTTTCCTATTACTTTCTGGATAAAATGCAAACTCTTCTGTTCAGCATTAAAGCCTTTCACAGTCTGGCTTAAGCGTATGTTACTAGGCTAATTCTATATAACCCTAACCCTCATATGCTCTCTGACTCAGGTGAACTGGCCCTTGCTATTCCCTATTTTATCGGCTGCCACAATTTTCGTCCCTCTCATTTGCTATGTGCTCCCTCCTCAGTCACATCCCTGAATCCCTAGCTCCCTGCAAGGCTCAGCAGCTCAAGGGCCACCTTCTTCAAGAGGCCTTCTCTGATTTCTTCCAATTTTCAGTGTTCTGTTGCCAAAACCGTGTCCTTACTTTGTATTAAAGCCTGTATTTACTATCTTTGAACATATTCCCCAAGTAAAATGTCAGCTCCTTAGAAAGAGGGATGAACTAACTTTTGTACTGGTATCCTCAATATCTAGCATAGTGACTGGCACATAGTAAGCACTTAATAAATGCTTCGATTGAGTCCTGAATTTGGAATCTGAGGACCTGGGTTCAGACACTGGCCCTGATACTATGAAAGATAATGTGGTCTACAGTAGAAGGCACAGGGATGGAATTTGTAATAAGAAGACCTGGCCTTGAGTCTTGCCTCCATTAATTGTTCGTATGATGATGGTTCCAAATCTTATTTTCCTCACCTATAATATAGGGATAACTATACTTACTCTATCAACTTCACAGGGTTTCTGTGAGAGAAGTATTCTGTAAACCTTAATGTGCCACATAAATGTGAGCAGCAGTTATTTCTCACCATTGCAGCAGCAGGATGCTATTTTACTTCTACCTTTGTAAGTACTCTGTTGAGCTCGTGGACTATGCCTTGTGTCAGCAGCTACCACAAACCATCAAGTATCTGCTCCAGGTAGAAATATGCAAGCTCACATACCTTCATCTCTACAACTTTTTTCTTTGCATGAAGAAACTATACCATCTTAGCTTATAGAAGGTTGGTTCCACCTTCAATCCCATGGGCTCTACTTTTTGAGAAAGAGTCCAAATTTGTACCCTCTGTCATTGGTGACAACACAGAAAGAATGGACCAATAGAAAAGATACATAGGGGTAAAACAAAATAAAAACAGAGGCAGAAAAGAGACCCAGTTCTGCTGCCCTTAGAGATAAAAGCTCTACATGCCTGGAGCTTCCATTTTAAATGAAAGTTCATGGAAAAAGAAGACTTGAATTAAAGATTTTACTTTATACTCACATTGGCTAAAATGAAACCCCTAAGCAATACTTAAGTTTCTACATTCATAAAAAGGAAACAGTTACCAAAAAAAACTAAAATAAAAGCTAATTTTACCTGTCAAAAGCAGGTGCATTGGCTTCAAATCCCCTTGACATTCGAACACGATGAGATCCCACCTTGAAAAAGAATGTTATATTTAATCATATAAGAAAAGTACATGTAACAAATTGGCAGATTTAGAGCTGTAAGGGACTATTTAGTCCAAGCCTCTCATTTTATAGATGAAGAAAATGAGGCTAAGGAAGATTAAATGACTTGCTCGGGGTCACACAGGTAGTAAATGTCAGGAGTAGTATTGGAACCAAGGCCTAGCTGAATGCTAAGTTCTCCACATAACCTTTCCTAATCAGGTTAGTAATGATCTTTGGACCTTGAAGAGCACTTAACTTTAGGCTTACACTTCTCTCCCATGTAAATATATTTTATTTGAATGAGTGAATAAAAAATCACTTAAATTTATCTTGAATTAAGCTGAGGATTCAAATAGGAAAAGTTCCCTGTTCTCAGGAAGTTCACAATCTAATTGTGAACATAAAGAAAGTTCAGCTGCAGGATGGACAGAAAGGCCCTCAAGTACTAAGGTGGAAGAGATGGCAAGGACTGGGAGATTCTTAGGTTTCATAAGTACATCAGATGACAGTGCAAGAGGACTACAGGATGTAAAAGCAGAACAGATGGCAAGGCCTGAAGGATCTCAGGAGGTGGTGGTAGGAAAGATGGTAATGTCTGGTAGTTCTCTACTTTATGGGAAAGAATAAAGTTGTTGACTCTCTACTGGACATCCCTTCCAAATCTAAGACTTTCAAAGAGTTGAAAAGAGCCATAAATAGAGAGGTAAAAAAGGGGCATGGGGCATATTGGTCTGGACCCCTGGTATCTGGGATAGGAACAAGGTATCCTTTACTTCAGTCTCTATGGCTTCCATAACCTGAGATGAGCACTTCAGTAGTTTGGAAAATTTGGGAAGGCAGAAAGTAAACACTGAGATGAGCTTATGAAGGGAGCCTCAGAGCTAAACAAGGTTCCAGGGAGTCAGAGACACTGCCCAGGCCTTTGCCAATATTATCCTCCTAGGGTTTTTTTTTAAAATCCTAGAATGACTAGTCAGTCATGCTTTCTTTTCTTTCATAAAGTTCATGGATTTGTCTACTTCTTCATCTAATGTCTCTATAAAAATCTTTCAGAAAAATCAATTGCTTCTGAAAAGGAAAAGCTTTCTTCACAGGATCACAGTGAAATAGAGATATACATCCTTTTGAGGCTGAGGTATTTTTACTATTGGTCAAATGTAAAGCCATAGGGAATTTTTTTTTTAAATAGACTCCTTCTTATGTTCCTTCTTGTTCCTTAGACCCAAGGAAGGACAATGTTACATAAAGTTGATAAATTTCATGCTTTTTACATTCCATTCATAAAGAACTAAAGAGTCATCTACATGTCAAAGGAAATACTAGCAGTCTTAGAGAGTCTAATAACACAAACAAGGTCAGGGTGAGGGAGTAAGAGAAGATGACAGACATGAGTTACTGACTAGCTGACCAGTGGCATGGTTGTCAGAGGAAGGGAGCAAGAGGAGAAGATGAGGGAATGAAATCAAAGAGGATTATCTAACTAGATTTTTGATTTGAAATCCAGTGTATCTTTCCCACTGACTCACACTGAAGTGCAGACATGAAGCACTCATCATTTATTATTATGTGAGTATTTTTATACTCACATAGAACAGGATGGTCAAAACAGAGTGTACTTGAGCTGGGCATTTAGAGATAAGTAGAACTTGGATAGTGCAAGAAGGAACATTTTTTCTCTATCATTTTACATTGTTTTATAAGGCAATAATGCTAAATTGTCCACCTTCCTCTTCTATAAGATTCAATTCAACAAGCATTTATTAAAATTGTACAGATGAACTTTAATTTTAAAATTAGTGGCTGCTGCCTCTAACATTAAGAAAATTACCCTTGTATTGATGTCAATTCTTCAATCCTTTTCCCATTTTTTTTTCAGAATCAGCAATTTGTTTAAATGGGTTGGGCTGTAATTGCTTTAATTTTGCCAATAATAATAGTAGCTAACCTTATATAGTGCTTATGATGTGCCAGAAACTGTGCTAAACACTTTATAATTATTATCTCATTTGATCTTCACAACATTTCTGGGGGGTGGGGGTGGGTAGGTGCTATTATTTTCCTCATTTTGCAGATGAGGAAACTGAGGCAAACAGAGGTTAAGTGACTTGCCCAGTATCACACAGGTAGTAAGGATCTGAGGCCAAGTCTTCTGGACTATACATTGCCCATAACTTTCTTCTTCTAATTTGGCATTTATTTTGATCTCTGCTTTAACAAGTCAGTGGTCTTACACAGATGGCTTATTTGAAAATGACTGTGATATTAGTAATGAATCTTAGGATACAATTAATTAATCAGGATACAATAAATCTCATTTTCTGTGCTATTCCCAATACCCTGCCTCCTAACTCTCTCTTTTTGACGAAAATATTCATCAAATATAAGTATGAAATGCCTATATATCCTACAAGCTTTTGGGTTTCAACTCCCAAGTCATCTTTTGCTTCATTTTCTCTTATGCCAATCACCGCTCTGAAGGTACTGAATTATTTTTTAAAATTGATTTAATTCAGAGGATTGTATCAAGTTCTTGATAGGATTTCTCTACTTCTTCATCTTTTACAATAGAAACTAGCTCAATTATCTTCATGGCAGTCTTTTTCACAAATTCTCATCATTATCAGAAAATCAAATGTCCTATGAAACAATATGGACAAAACTCATTTCCTTCCTCTCCAAGAAGGACCTAAGGCATTAGGTATTTAACTATAACTTCTTTTTTATCCTTATTATCTTTCTCCCAAACCCTCTCTACTTTTTAGCTACCATATCAGGGATCAGAGCACCATCATTTTCTCAGTCATTCAGGCTCAAAAGCTAGACTTCATTCTTACTTTATCTGTTTCTCAACACCACCACCACATAACCTATCAACTCTATCTCCTCTGACATTGCTACCACCCTGGTGTACACCTTCATCACCACATGTCTGAACAACATCCCGAGTCCAGTTTCATCCTCCAGTTCATCCTCCACTCATCTGTCAAGCTGATCTTCCTAAAGCAAAGATCTTTCCAAGTCACTCCAGTGGTTCCATGATCCTCCAGGACCAAATATAAATTTCTCTGGTGTTTAAAGGCCCTAACCTGGCCTATTTCTACCTTTCCAATTTTCTGACATTTTACATGTATTCTGAAATCCAGTAACACTAGCCTCTTTGATGCTCCTTGCACAAGACTGTTCAAAATCTCTCAACTCCATGAATTTTCATTGGTTATCTATCACTCATGCCTGGAATTCTCTCCCTACTTTTCTCTTTCTATCAGCTTTTCTGGCTTCTTTCAGGTCTTCGCTAAAATTCAACTTCTACAAGAAGCCTTTCCAATTCATTGTGTGTGTGTGTGTGTGTGTGTGTGTGTGTGAGTGTGAGTGTGTGTGTATACACATTATCTATTTATCCACCTATCTATATCTTGCTTTTAAATAGTTGTTTGCATATTGTCTCCTCCATTAGACCATAAGCTTCTTGAGCTCAAGAACTATTTCTTTTGCCTTTCTGTGAATCCACAACACTGAGCACAATGCCCGGCACACAGGAAGCACTTAATAAATGCTTGTTGATGTGACTTGGTTTCATTTAAAGCAAGAATGTCAGTATTGACAGGAGATTCAGTTGTTTTAATGGTTTGTCAAATCAAAGGACAGGCTCTGACATTTAGAGTAACAACAGTTATGTAATGATAGGTGGGTCAGAGTAATCTAGTCTATGAGCCCCCAGCAGAAGATGTGTGTTTCTGTGAAAGGCAGACTGTTTGCCTCATCGATTCCTTTGCAAACTAGCAAAATAAGCATATATTTAGCAACATACAATTCACTACATTCTGATGAAAAAGGATTTTTTTTTTTTTGCAAGGCAATTGGGGTTAAGTGACTTGCCCAGGGTCACACAGCTAGTAAGTGTCAAGTGTCTGGTCTGAGACCTCATTTGAACTCAGGTCCTCCTGACTCCAGGAGTACTCTATCCACTGCATCACCTAGCTGCTCCTAAGCATCTCTTAAATAGAAATAAAAGTAAATTATCGAGGACAGCTTAATAGCATTATGCCAAAGATCACGTGATACAATCTGAACTTTGAAATATTCAAAGTGAATATACTAGAGATCACAAAAACCCTCACCATGGCAAAATGCCACTTTGGGGACAATTGCGTGATTTTACTGGTTTATATTTCAAATTTGTACAGAGCCCTACAGTTTGCATAGCACCTTCCTTACAATAATTCTCTGTAGTAATCAGTATGACTGTTACCTCATTTATACAGATGGAAAAACTGAAGCTCAGAGAGGCTGAGTGACTTCCACATGGTCACACTGCTAATAAGTTTTATTTATTGCTGAGCATAAATCCTAAAGGCATTACTTAAAAATATTTAGAAAAAATGGCACTGTGCTTTGTTCCAACTTGAGGAAAATGTCTCATAAGAAATTAAATTACAGTAAAAAATAACACTGAATGATCTGGGGTGAAGGGTGATGTTGGTAAAGAGAGCAGAGAAGAAAGAAGTTTTTGGACTCAAGAGAAATTTTCCTGAACAAAAAAGTTTCATAATGTCAAAAACATACTTGCAAACCAGGTTGCTCCCAAAACAATGGTACAGATCCACGGATTTGTATGAAGGAAGATACAGCATCATCTAAAAATATAACCTGAAGAGGAAAAACCAAAGTTTCATAGTCAAGCATATTTGCATATTAAAGAACATTCAAATTTTTTGCATGTTAGACAAATTTTATACTTCCTTTACCTCATAAAGCAATCAGTTCTATTAATTTATAATTCTTGAGCTTTTGGACAAAATTATTTTTATAATCAAGATGCTTAGAAATAGTCCACAACATGTTTAATGAGCTAAAATTTAATACTTTTATCTGTTTTAAATTAATATATAATTTTACAAAAATAACTTAAGGCAGTAAAAACAATAGGGACTGAAAAATTCTTGAAACTAATAAAGCTACATTGTAAATGCAGTATTTTGATTACTTCTGTAAGAGAAACAATATCCTAGTGAACTATCCAATTTGGTATCACACCCACAGAGGATCTCTGGCTTTGGTTTTCTTTAGTCCTATAATGTTATACTTTTAAAATATGTTTTTTATATCTTTGAAAAACTACTCTGCCAAACTGAATGTTTTTATGTACACACACACACACATAGAGGTCAGTCAGGATTATACAAATATTTTGGGCTAAATTTCAGTTCAAGTTTCTAACAGTAGCATGGAATACCCGTGCCATTTTTTAAAAAAGATTTCAAAGTTTAATTTAACAAAAAAATAATTATTTAAAAAAAATCACTAGCATTATATAATTCAGTATTCATCTGACAACACCTAAACTGAGGCAGTAGTTAGATAATTTGCTGGGTTATAAACAACTTGCCATACAACTGGAGAGTTACAAGCTCTCATTTTGGAAAAACTATAGAGAAAACTTTTTGCCTATAGTACAATGACCAGTAAAGCAATAACAGACCATGAAATGACTTTGTTACCATTATGAGAGATGTTTTGAGTTATGTAGAAAATATGTAATTAGATCATAGTTTTTTAGGCCTTCTAGGAACACTAAAGAGATCAAAAAAAAAAAACAACTTAATACCTGTTCTGTTTCTACAAAATTAGCAACATGACCATCATCATTTGTTCCCCGGACATTAAACCTGGTCCCGGCTCGTTCACAACTCAGACGTGAAATAAGGCAAGCTTTTGCCTGTTTGTGAGCAGCATAAATTGTTCTAATTTCAACTCCTCCACACATAAGGCGTAATAACCAGTCATCACAATTCACACCATAGTGCTTGAGATGTAAGTGTAGTGATTGATTCCTAAAGAAAAAAAAATTAGATTAGGTTATTGAAAACAAAATACATGACAAGGTTTCAATTCAACCCAAGTGTCCTTCAATGGACAGATTTTCATACATATTATTACTTAAAATGTTGATGTAGATGAAATGAATGACACTATAATCGAGTTCATTCATCCAACATGTATCCATCATAAAGAGAATACACCGTCCTATTAGGGAATATGGGATGAGGACGCAAAAAAAGTTGGGTAAATGATGGGCATACGTTTGGCTACCCTGTGATTTGCATTCCAGCTTTGTGAACTTGGGCAAATCACCTGATCTCTTTTCTCATTTTAAAAATGAGACATTCCCTACATTCCTTACAGAATTGTTGTAAAAACCAAATAAGATAATGTATGTGAAATATAAAGTGCTACAACAAATGTAAAAGTTTATTAAATACTAGACATAGTCTTTTTGTGTCATCCTCAACAAGAAAATTTAGGCACCAAATGTAACACTTCATAGGAAAAGTATCAAGAGAGCAGATGGTGAATAAGTATGTTTATCTAAATAACTGGAGCTTATAAAGAAATCCTGAGGAGCCTTTTGAGATATATGGAATATGTATACATCTGTATGTACACATATATGTATATGTATATATGTATATGAAGAGATATAGATATATGTGAAAAATATATATTTCCACCTCTCTGTATCTCTGCTCTCTGTTTTGAATACTCTGCATCCGTAATGTTGATTACAGATACAGCATTGTACAGATACAGATGTTGATTACAGATACAAGAGAATGAAAAGCCAAGATGAGAAAAACTATATAAATTTGTTTTGGCTACATAAAAGTAACTGTAATAATTTTCTTATCATTTACATCTAGTTATCAAGGACACAGTAGTTACACATGTCATGTCAATATAACTTGTTTTATTAAAATAATAAATTCTACTCATATTCTCAAAGTTACTTTGTTCATGTAACATGATATTCCACTATAAAAACAAACAAACAAAGTAAAACTGCGAACTATGGTTCCAGAAGGTTTAAATTGCCAGAAATCTGACTTCTGGGTAACTGGGATATTATACATTATTATCAAGCCATAGTATTATTAATATCATAGAAATTTCACTGATGACATTTCTAGTTTAGATACTTTAAAATAATTTCTAAATGTAAAATATGTGACATCAAAGACCAGATAATATAAACAACATCTAACTAAATTAAATTAATCTAATTAAATATCTAATATTAGCCAGAAAAATGTTATAGTACATGAATATAATGGGAAACAAGGACTCACCAGAAAAATCTGTCATCAGTTGTGCGGTCTTGAATGCTACGATGGGCATTAAGACTCAAATCTAAACTGGATCCAGTTGCAGACCATGCAAAATAAAAGTTTCCTGAATTCAAAATTTTGCGAACTTCTGAAATGCGATCTTCATCTGAAGAATCAATTCTTAAGGATATAAACTCAGTGGAAATAACTCTAAAAACTTCAGATTCTTGAATTTTTCCAACAGACATGCATCCTGTGACTAGAACCAGATACTGTGCCATTGTATCACCTATAAAACCAAAGTGACAGTTGATGAATTCCAAGTAGTTTTCAAACACAATTTTTAATTTTCTTTCAGTAGTCTTATTTTTTCCCTCATGTCTAAAGTTCTTATTGTTCACTGCAAAACATCAGGGAAATTCTAAGTTTCACTAATACTCATAAAAAAGAGAAAAATGTAACTTTAACACTGAACACTGCTTTGAAATATTCAAATAAGAAAAGAATAATATCAATATTTCTTAAATTATCTATGACCCCTTAAGAAGTTTTCTTCAGCCTCTAATTAAGGCATTAGAAATAAGTGCCTGTACTAGATGCTCTATCCCAGGGGACATCAATATAATTTGAAAGAACACTTTATCCTAGATATATAAGGGAAGGACTTTATCTAATCTGTGAACATGAAATATAAATCTTCCAGGGAGTGTCAAACAAGATTTCTCTACTAGTATGTAGTTTCCCAGTTGGATCTGTCAGTTTTTCCTCAAAGAAAAAAAAAAGGATGAAATTTTTATGCTGGAATGGAGAACTATTAATCATAATGCCTTATAAGTGTTCTAAAATAGGATCATTCTTAATAATAGGCATGCATATTTATTGTTCATATTTGAAAACTATGTTTGAAAACATATTTATTGTTCACCCTTTTAAGCCTGAAAGTTTTATTCTACACTATCAAGATCAAATAATTAGTCAGGTCATACCAATACTTAAGAGACTGCAAATAACATAGACATTATCATCTAAATCAGAAGATAACTATATTTAATGTTAGAAAGGGCCTTGGAGATCATCTAATCTATACCCCTCATCTAAATATAACTAACCTAAGAAATAATGTGACTAGAGTAGATCTTACTTCACACTTTCTTTGTCAAAATCTATAAATATATGGATAGGAAAAAAACTACATTGAAAAGCTTTACTTAGTAAACTTACCAAGGTTCAGTCGTAATACACCTAAGAGTCCATATGCATCCATTACTTTGGAATACATGCCTTTGATTGCCTCTTTTTCTGCAGATGCTACAAAAAAAATATTTTAAGATGTTAGGGAAAATAACATGAATTTTAAACAACAGCTCTCTTCTGGATCTCAAGTTTAAAGGACTCAGTCTTTTCAAACGAGGCAGTTACTCAGACTGCAAATACATCACAGAACTACCTTCTCTCCTCCTACATGTATATTGCAAAACACAGATGGAGGATCCCAACCGTGATGACTGGTTCTACAACAAATTTATGACTGTAAACTCAACTAGGCCCTCATTGCTGCACAGAAATTCTTTATGAAAAGAAGAGTTTCTCTGAATAACACTCTACCTCATTACCTTATGTGGCTGTTTGAACTCTTCTCGAGTTACCTACTTACAATCCCCCTTCCTCTCCACCTCTTACTGAAGATGTCAAACACTTCACTGAAAAAAATTGAAGACGGCCATCAAAAGCTCCCTTTTCCCACCAATTCTACACTCCAAATCATCTGAACATCAGAGTGGCACGTGAAAAGAACAATGGGTCTGAAGGGAGAGGAGACAGGTTCAAATTCCTCCTCTGACATTAGCTTCCCTAAGCCTCAGTTTCCTTATCTGTAAAACAAGGGGGTTTGACTACATGACTTCTAAGGTTCCTTCCAGCTTTAGATCTATAACTATCCTCTACTCTCTCCTCCTTGGCTTCATTCTTAGGGGAAAAAGTTGCCTTTCTGTTTGTAAACGCAACTCTTCTACATATGCCCTTAGTCTCCTCCCCTTCAGCCATCCCTCCTCCTTCAAATTTTTTTTTCAATCATCAAAAATCTGCACACTCACCCTGTCATTTCTACCCCCAATTGAGAACTAAAAACTTTCATAAAACCCATCACAAACACGTATAGTCTATCAAAACAAAATTTTACATTGTTGTTCAATCATTTTTCAGTCATGTTTGACTCTTCATGACTCCATTTGGGGTTTTCTTGGCAAAGATACTGGAGTAGTTTGCAATTTCACAGATGAAGAAACTGACTTGCCCAAGGTCACAGAGCTAGTAAGTGTCTAAGACCAGATTTCATATCAGGAAGACAAGTCTTCTTGACTCCAGGCCTGGCCCTCTATATACACTGCTCCATTTATCTGTCCAAAAAAATTGTGTCACTGGATACTCTTTTTTTTGTTTTTTAGGCAATTGGGGTTAAGTGACTTGCCCAGGGTCAAACAGCTAGTAAGTGTCAAGTGTTTGGTCTGAGGCTGGATTTGAACTCGGTCCTCCTGACGTCAGGGTCAGTACTCTATCCACTTCATAGCGTACTCTTAAGCCTTTTTCCTCTCTTATCATGAGGTATGTAACATTAGTCCTCTAGAATTGTGGTTGGTGATTGATTACATTGATAAATGTTCCTAATTCTTTAAAAGTTGTTTGCTATTACCATTTTGTTGTCATTGCATAAATCTTGTCTCCTGGTTCTATTCATTTCCTTCTGCATCAGTTTATACAGGTCTTCCTAAGTTTCTCGAAAACTGTCTTTATCATTTCTTACAGCACAACAGTATCCTAACACATTTATATGCCATAATTTGTTTATTCATTCCCCCATTTATGGGCAGCACCTTAAAATTCCCATTCTTTGTCACCTCACAAAGAACTGTAAGCATTTTTGTACATTCTTAGGAGTTTGTTTTGCTTAAACTAATCTCTCTATTAATCTATCCTTCTACCTCTTCCCTTTCCCTATTTACCATTCTTTCTACTTTAATCAATTCAGATGAGAGTGATGTTGAAGCGTCATCTGCTTCCCCCACCTCCTCCATCTTGTTATATAGACTCTACTTGTGCACTTCAATTGTATTTTTCCTACCAGTCCTTTCCCTTCCCCTTTTCTGTCACTGCATTTCTCTTGCCTTCTCTTTCCATTCTTCTATTAAGATCAAGACATTATAGAACCACTCCCAGGCTTGTCTAATTAAACTCTCTCTCTGACCTCCAACAATGATTTGATTCAGAGGGGACATGTATATTCTTATATTAGGACATAAGCAGTTTACCCTTTTTCAGTCCCTTATTATTGTTCACTCATATATATCTTCTTATGTTTCTCAACTCCATGTTTGAATTAAAAAATTTCTATGCAGCTCTGACTTCACCAGGAAAACTTAGAAGTCCTTTCATTAAAAGTCTTTTTTTTTTAATCAATTAATAAACATTTATTAAGTGCCTACTATATGCCAGGCACTGTAGCATTATACCAAATTTTGCTAGATAAGTTATTCTTGGTTGTCTTCTTTGTCTTCTAAAATATTGTATTCCTCTTCTTTCTAGTGGTGGCTATAAATCATGTATGATCCTGACTATGGTTCCTTGGTACCTGAATTTTCTCTTTTTAGAAGCTTGATGTTTTTTCTTTAATCTGGAAGTTCTAAATATTGGCTATCATATTCTAGGGAGTTTGTTGCATGGGCAAGGTTGTGTACCTCTTGTGCCAAGCTGTTAATTCCCTTTCCAATTCTTTCTTTCATAGCTTTTGTTTTTCTTTTTCATTTTTTTTCTTCAAGGGCCCTCATTTCATTTATAAAAACATTTTAAATTCTTAAAGAAAAAAAA